CCGGAGATAAAACTATACGTTAGGTGACGTCTACATGGATTGCGTGACATTATAGTATGCATCACGCCATTCTCCTTACCAAATGTTTTTTGGTTGATTTAAATTGATTTGATTTGTCATTAAACAAAAAGGATCGATCACAAGTTATTCCAATGTAAAATCCACTTCTCCATAACATTTCTATAACAAGTTACATGACAGCAATTAAAACGTATTCATCAAGAAACATATTCAGAATAAGAAGGTTTTTCTCATTTTGTGCCCATCCACAGAACTCGCCTAGTGTAAGACTATCTTCAACAAACGGTGAAAGAGACGTTCCCATGGCCTGCAATGTCACCAGACATGAACCTTTTTGAACATGTATGGGAAAATCTCAGATAAGACGTCAATGTACGGGATCTAAAATGCCAAACAATTGGAAAATTACGGACTGCATTGATTCAGGAATGGCAGAGTATTCCTTGGCGTCTGGTCAATGATATGAGACGACAAGCACAATAACTGTACCAGAAACGTGGTGATTATACCCGATCTTGACATTTTTATACCCAATAGAACTCGTTGATTATTTAATCTTCTTGGTCGAGTAACATGTTTTGGTGATTTCGTTTCGTATATATTATCATAAGACAGTTCAAGTCTATTTTTTCTAGACTTTAAGAATACGTATTTGCGCATGTCTTTTTAAAATGATACAACACTTCCTGTTTTGAAACCTTTTTCCTTTTAACTGTGTGATTCCGTTAGATGCCTAAAATGATTTCCTATACATCCTGTTAAGTTGTCATTAAATATTTTTTTAAAAGAGCGAATAAAATAAAGTTCAGTCTAAGATAAGGGTGGTCCTTGACTTATGACCAAGTATAGATATAGCATAGATTTATTGTACATAGCTGTTGAATGTCGTTCAACAAACAAACAAATCTCGCCGATTTCATAGAAACAACTGATGTGTCGTTTAGTCTCATACTTTACCTAGACCAGATCTTCCTCTTAGAAAGAGAAATTCAGAAGTAAGCAAGTAACATTATTGATCGGATGGAGCAGTGGAAACGTATTCGCTTTTCACCGAGGTATGAGGGTCACCCGCCTGACCACGCGGATTTTCCCCGATTATTCCGGTTTCCTTCTACAGTAAGACTCTTCGCGCGCTTCCATCCGCGCTAACAATAGTGATTAATGTAAGCTGGAAAACCTTGTTTCGCTTACTCTTCCGGAACACTTGGTTTTATTATCCTTGTACTTTTTTCAGGGGTCTGCGGATAAAACTTTCTTTTGTTAATATTTTGCCCTAGTTTTATTGAATTTGAGTGTAGATTAGGATTATGTTGACATTTTGGTATTTTCTTGCTTTTCTCGCAATTGTTGTAAAATAAGGGTTAGTGTTAGTTGGTAGATCTGACAAGGCCCGAATCATTGACAGCAGTTCATGCTGTTGGCAGTTTTGACAAAGACAAAGTCATTGACAGCAGTTTACACTATTTTTAGATCTGAGCAGGTTTCTGTCACTTGCAGCTGTCCGCAATGTTGATATATCTGAAGAGGGTCGTGTCACTGAAGCCGTCGATATGGTTGGTAGATCTGACAAGGAATGGCTCATTGGTAGCAGTCCAACCTGTTAGTGGATCTGACAAGGAATGACTCCTTAGCAGTTGTCCAAACTGTTGGTAGATCTGACATGGAATGGCTCCTTGAATGGTTCCTTAGCAGTTGTCCAAACTGTTGGTAGATCTGACAATGACTCATTGGCAGCAGTCCAAACTGTTGGTAGATCTGGCAAGGAATGGCTCATCAGCAGCTGTCCAAACTGTTGGTAGATCTGGCAAGGAATGGCTCATTGGCAGCTGTCCAAACTGTTGGTAGAGCTGATAAGGAATGGCTCATTGGCACCTGTCCAAACTGTTGGTAGAGCTGATATGATCCTTGGCAAGCAGCCCAAACTGTTGGTAGATCTGACAAGGATTAGATCGTTGGCAGCTGTCCAAACTGTTGGTAGAACTGACAAGGAATGGCTTATAGGCTGTAGTCCGCCCTGATATTTGAAAAAGGCAGACTTTGACAGCAATTCTTTCTGCGCTGGTAGAATATCTGTAGTGTACCGAATCGTTGACAAGGAATCCATACGTTAGGTGGATCTGAAAAGGACCAAGTCAATAGCAACAGTCCACATTGATGATACATTTAACAGGATGTGACGTTGACAGCAGCCCACACTCACATATATATTTTTAGCCAAAGACGAGTATGTGTCACATTTTCCTTTTAGAAAAGACACGACTGTTTAACATCTACACTCTTCATTAAGACGTTACGTGTTTGTCAACAACAGTGTAAGTACTATTTGACACTGACATGACTATACATATGTACATACCTAGCAATAGATTTTTGATATTGAAAACATGTCGAAAGATACAATTGATTTTTTCTTTTGAAATTCTACTGAATGCTACATATTTCATGAGCTACGGAAAAAACTTATATAGACAAAATGATACTTAGGTAAGGGAGTTGACATGTGAAAGACAGCATTCAGTACCTTTGAGCTAACATTCAATCCTTTAAATACGCATTGTGTAAACCATTTTTAAAACTTGTATATAAATGTGTATTACAATTTTATGGTGAAAACCTCTGAAGAATATTTTCCTTTTTTGTATGATAATTGTAATTGCAGAAACGGGTCGATGTATCTTGTATATATAGTGTTAAATACGGCCTCTATCTCTCAATTGACGGAGCATGGTTCTTTGGCTCAGTTGGTAGAGTCGGTCTATTTTCACGTCGGGAGGGCGGGTCTTGTATAGTGTTTATTTGGTTTGTATGTTTTCGTGTTGTGTTGTATCGTATGTATGGTAGTGTGTTGAGTATAACTGTGTGAGATTTTAGATTTCGAGTTTGAGACCCTATAGTCAGTATTGAATAATAAGATCAGTATAATAATTATCGAGAACTGTTTACCCTATTGCCCTGCCGAACCGAGTTCCATATGCTACCAGCCAGGGTAGAAGACCCGAATCCTACTGCAAACCAGTCCTTGACCGTTGTACCCCGAGGTTTCTTTTATGTTTAATCTACACTGGACGTAGGGTCTTAAATGTGAAGTTTGTTTGTGTATTTTCTTCCTTTTAGTCCTTTGTTTTAACAAATACTTAAAAGGGCGTGTTTACTTGTGTGTGTTGTTTTAATTAATAAGTACATTTTTGTATTGTTTTACAAATGTGAATGGTAGCACAGAGGAAGACACCACATACCTCATAAGGTGTCATTATGCACCAATGTATGAGAGGATCAGTAGTAATTCTCTCTGGTGTAGTCTCCCTGGGTAATGGTGATCATACCCGTTGTATAGTGTTGTGTAGGTTTCTGATGTTTGGGAGTTGTCTCCCTTCGACCGGTCTTTTTAAACCGTTTATACTTCGTCTGAGAAGTTAAGTTTTCATACGAATTCGACGAGCAGTCTTTCATTTTCAAGTGACATCAAAACCTGGTTGATGGATTTTTATTCTTTTGAATTCGGCAATGAGATCTTTTCTTTCTTGATCGATTTTTTTGCAATATAGAAAAATGAGATTATTGTCTCTCCTGTTTTACAATGCGTACAGTCTGGTGAGATATCTTTAACCATTTAACTGATGTTACTTTTTGATTTCGTGTTTCCTAATCTCAGTCTTGTAATGATAATGTCTTCTAATTTATTTCGTCCTAAAGCTTTTGATTTAGTATTAGGTTTATCTATAATTTCCCTTACGTTGTTTGATCTTTCCAATTTTTTCCATGTTTCTGACCATTTATTATTGATTTGTTGATTGAAAATATAATACACTTCTGTCTTAGATAATTTTACCTTACATTCTAATGTGTTTTTCTGAACAGTTTTTTTCCTTCTAGATCATCAGCTTTTCTCATTTCAATGTATATTGAATTGTGATGGTACTTACTCAAAAATTACCAAATTCCCCGTCGTGTTAAGTTTTTAATTAGATTCAATATGGAGTTAATTACATTAGTTCTTTCGCTTTTTCTAGTCTGCATTATTTGTAATGAAGAAAAATTCTTATTTGGCTGTTTATAAGTCTAAGTGCTAATTCTATAGCAATTATTTCACTGGTATAAACGAAGCACTTATCGGTCAGTCTGAGTGATAATGCGATGTTGTTTTCTCCGGAATAAATACCAAACCCTCTCTATCCGTTTGTGATTTTTTTTGGACCCGTCAGTATAATATTTGCTATGATTGTTACATTTCTCGCAAATTATTGATAGTACTTTTGCCCTAGTTTCTGCTGAATTTTCCTTGTTGTTGGTTTTGTCACAAATTTCTGAACGAATGTTGGGAGTGTCCAATTTCCAGAGCAGAGTTAGAATTGGAAAAATGTTTTCAGTTTTAACTTGTCTAAATTGTGTTCTATAAGAAGTTGATTTGATACAAAATTAGATGGCGGTTTGGCATATTGTTGTAGTTTGTCTCTGTATTTAGTGTATTTGACTTCTGAAACCATTTTCATTTGGCGGGAAATCCGGCGGGTCCTATTGTTTGTATTCTGGTTTCAATATTGAAGTATGACCTTTCTCCTCTTTAATTTCCATGGCAATTTATCGGATTCGGCGTAAATGTTTATTGACGCTGTGCTCTTTAAAACACCTAGTGCTGTTTTAATGCTTTATGTTAAATTATGTCGAACATTTTTAGTGCCAAAAGCTGCATAGTAAACCTGACGGCCATAGTTATTTTTAATCTAATGAGTGCCGTACATAGAGTCAATATTGTTAGTTTGTTTGTACCTAAATTATTTCCGGAGACGTTTGTTAATGTGTTAAGTGCATTTTTGCATCGTTCTTTTCTAATTTTATTGTGTGGAATCCACGTTAATTTTTCTATCAAAGATGACGAGTAGTTTGGCCTACCCTATAACAGTGAGATGGGAAACAACTCGATCATAGCAATGAACTCTAACCGAATGCGCCTTCTCAAATTACTTTCGGTATCTCTCTGATTTGGTCGTAAGGTACGTGTGTTGTCTGGAAGCGCAGTAGCAGAAATTGATGCAATTTTGCTGTTATATTGGTAATGTATGGTAACAGCACGATCATAATCAGAGCATATTAATCTCTTTATTGTTTCCTGTCGACAGACATCTAGTTTAAACGCTGCTTATGTTCAAATATGAGAGCATATGCCTAAACCACACACAACTTTTTTGATTTCGAACACTCAAACGCTGAACATCGTTGGATTTCGACGTTGTCCATGTACACGGTTGCTGTATCAATAGATTAACAAGACATGTTCCATGTAGATTTTATTCTTACAACTAGTTAATGACCGAATTACTTTTAATATCGTGTAGCTTTTAGCTGTTCGATTAGTGGGAGCAGGCTGTCAGATCAAGTGGATCTGGAGACTGGCACTGCAGCTGTACATGAAAAATGTATTCGTGTATTATATAATGTGTATATAATATACATTATACCTACGTAGATAAGATTTTGTCAGCAATTCCCAGCACTGAGAAGAACATTTTGCAGTGTTGACATGAATATCAAGCATGCTGCTGCATTGGGCTACAGACAAGCTCAGTTTGTAGAGCATCAGACTTTGCAACCTGAGCTCAAGATCTGGGGTGCATGGATTGATGATCTCAAGCCAGGACAGTTCTCAGTTAGATGAGACTAAGGGATGTTCTGTGCTGCTGGTTATGTTCTTGCACCACAAACTTAACACCAGTTTCGCTGGATAACATGGCAGGCCCCCGAGTTAGCTGTTCTCTATTACAAGGTGACCCTTCCTCAGAATGGCACTAGCTGTTCACTAAACTTACCAATCCTGGAAATTTCTCTCCGCTATAAACAAATAGTACAGACAAAGATCAATAACTTGAAGAATTACAGGAAATTTTGTTGTCTATTGATTGATGACAAGGTAGAATTAGAACCTTTTGTTGCTTTTATATGTTTACTTATGATACTAGTGGTAAAGTTTTTGATATTCTTATTTTCGCAGGCATCTCATACTCAACATGTAAGTGTCCATTTTTAGGTAGACTTTCAAAGAAGTTCTGGCTTGTGAAATACAGTTGTTTTTTTTGTAGTTGACAGAGTACACATTTTAGAAGTCATAACACTTTGTTTGAGTCAAAATGATCATAGATCTTAAGTTGGCACTCTTTGATGGTTTTCACTTTGTATATGTGTAGAAGTAGAGAGTGCAGGTCACTTTACTAGTCTCCATTAGTGGGAACTTCCCTTAACCAAGTGGTAGGATATTTGTATGGGGAGCTGAAATTGGCTAGTTTGAGCCCACACAAGAACAAGGCATTTTCTCATTAGATTTTATAGATTTTTATACTGTTGACCACTCCAATGTAGGTTATATGCGACTGAAAGCCTCTGCTTTGTTATAGGAGCTAAACAGCATTTGATGGTTCACCCTATAGCACAGTTGTATGTTGTATGAAGAAATACTGTATGTCTTTTCTGACAGTTGATGAATTAGAAGATGGAGAATAATATAAATAATGCCTTGCTTAAAGTCTTTGACCGGGATGTCTGTTGATTTGCAAGCAATACACTTTCAAAAGACTTCAATGAATTTGTGAAGTTGGAATTTACAAGCTGCTTTCTAAATTTTCATGTAACCTGTATATTTTAAAACCACATATAGTATATATTTTACATAGAAATTATAATTGTATTTCATAATTATATTTCAACTGGCATTACTGTATGGTGTAGTTTACATGCTGAACTGTGCATCATTTTTTTCATACAGGTACATGTATCACATAAATTTATTGTACTTGTTATAGATGTATGTACTGTTTTCAGCCTGTGATGGACTTACCAGCTGTCTCCCCCACTTAAAAAGTGACCAGCATATTTCGTGTGGACCTGGTTTTTAACCTTGATGACTACAACCTCTGCTATCTGAACTCTGTTCAGAGTGTAATGGTTTTTAAGAGACTGGTTTCTAAGAGCTTTCGTAACTTGTGTTTATTTGTGGGACTTGTGTCACGGCAAATTGTGGCCAGTATGGCTTGGCGATCCAGTGGTAACACCAATGCCAACCTTGTGGAAAACTTAAGATGTAAGTATTACTTAAGTATGATTGGGTTGTAAACTTGGGATGGCAGAACATACATTTGATTGGGTGGTACACTGAAGTGTTAGTAAAGTGTGACTAGATATCATTCAATAATTATAAAAGATATCCAGTTAGAAGGTGAAGTCTACCACACCCCAAGGGCCAATGTGAGCTATAGGGATACCACAGCATCAAACCTTTCCTATAAATCAGTACTAGTCATGAACAAATAAGTGGATTTTAATCAAATTTGGTCTGAAGCATCCTTGGGAAAGACGAACCAATTTTGTATAAATGGAGGGTCTCAGCTCCCTTCAGCAGGAGAGAGAGTGCCAATATGGGAAATGCCGTTCATTCTTTAAAATCTTTCTTCTTATGTGTGAATATCTAGATTCTGTCCCAATTTTGATGTGAGACATGCTTTTGAGAAGGAGATCAATTTTGAATGAAAATTTGGTTTTGACCCCCTGGGGTGGAGCCAAATTCTGGAAATGGAGAAAATCCTTTAAAATCTGTTGAAATGATTCTATTTTGTCAAGATTTGATCTGAAGCATCCTTGGGTGAAGTACAAGTGTTTTAATTACTTTTCATTTGTTTGAAATTAATCTCTTTCAGCAAACTAAAGCAGGTGAGTGATACAGGCCCTATAGACCTCTTTGTTTTATTTAATTCAGAATATGATATGTAATGTATATACTGGATTTGTATTTTAATACTTCCACTTGTACCTTGGAATAAGTCCAGGGAACCAACACATTTCTTCTTCCAGGACCCTTTGGAGCCAACATATTTCATTTTACAAGACTCCAGGGAACCAACATGTTTTTATTACAGGACCCAAGAGAACCTACACCTTTCTTTTTACAAGAGCACTTGGAATCAACACATTTCTTTTTACAGGACCACAAGGAACCCAACACATTACCTCTTACTCATAGTCTGGAGGTTGGCTTATTACAGAGCAATATTATTGAATATCAATAGACATGGGTGGGATTATTCTCAGACATGTGATCATTGCTGGATGAATATTGTAATGAAGAAGGAGAGACTGAATCTTATTCACCTGACAAATTTCAAGTGGAGATGTATTCAACCAGGCCATCAGGCAGTTTAGATTATCCAGGCCTTTGATTAATCCTTATCCAAGGGTGAGGCCTGGCTGTCCAATCGAGAACGAAGTCTCCCGCTCCATGTTCGGTGGAATAGTGTCACCCATTCCTCAGGATGTACAATCCCATTTCACTAGGTCATCCCAGGTCAGTTTTGATCTACCCGAGGTCCAATGACAAGTGACATTTAGGGTACGGATCCTTGACATCCATCCTTTACTGCATTCTACTGGCCAAACCGTCTCAACCTGCTAGTCCGAAGAATTTCTGAGATATCTTTGATGTCTAGCTGAGCAAGAAGAGATTCTATGGGAACATCATCTTCCAGTTTGACAAGGCAGATCCATCTTATCATGGTTCTATCATTGCATCGAAACCTGCTAAGAGTAGCAGCTGTTACTGCCCATGTTTCAGAGCCATACAGCAACACAGGTCTAATGTAGGTTGAGTAGAGGAGACTTCTTGTTGTGATAGGCAGATGTTTGCTTGTTAAGATTGGAAGCAGCTCTATAAACTATTTCCATGCTGATTTGCATCTTGTTGTTACAGCAAGTGCACATCCACCTCCAGATGACAACATATCACCAAGGTAGCAGTAGTTAACATGACTTTGAGATGTAAAATGTTGATACCCAATGTTTCTGTCTTCAGTAAATGATATTTTGTATTTCTTTCCTGGTTGAATGGTATTTTGTGTTTCTGTCTCCAGTGAATATTATTTTGTATTTCTGTCCCCAGTAAATGATATTTTGTGTTTTTGTCCCCAGTGAATGGTATTTTGAAGTCAGACAGAGTAGTACAGGCCATGCTACAGGTAGACAGGAAGAACTATGTGAAGAATCCTTTGTACGCCTACGCTGACTCTCCACAAAGTATTGGCTACTCTGTCACCATCAGCGCCCCTCACATGGTAAATCTACCTTAGCTTCAGTGATTTGGTTTTCATTTATGGTAACAGCAATTAAGATACTCAGATAGGTAAAATCGACAGATCAGTTATCAATCGATTTTCTGGAAACTTTACAGAAATTATCGGTTATCAATCAATTTTCTGGAAACTTTACAGAAATTAAAAGGTCTGTCCAACCGTGACTTCAATATTGGTGGAAATTTATGCAGTGAAGAACCAGTATGCCAAGGCAATTAAAATGTGTGTTGTTACATCATTATTTACTTCCATTCAGTCTGTTTTTGAGTTTAATTTGACCCTACAGTCTGATTTTTTCACACTCAAGTTTTCATGGGGCCAATAAAGTCTGGTTAAGACGGAGAACAATGATCATGCCTGTCACTGAAAGGATTATGATTCACTTAGCTAAATTTGACAGCTATACATTTTTAGAAAAAAGACAGTTCAGTATAATTCTTTACCAAGTATGAATCTGAAAAATGAAAATATATCATTTGTAAACAGCTAGATAGAACATTAAAGATTTTTTATGTGAAGAACATAGTTATTTCAGATATAAAAAGATACTTTATTTACAATTACAGCATGCACATGCCCTAGAACTGCTGTCAGACCATTTGAAGGAGGGGTCAAGGGCATTGGATGTAGGGTCAGGAAGTGGCTACCTGACAGCTTGCATGGCTCTGATGGTTGGTAAATCTGGAATGGCTGTAGGAATTGACCACATGGAGCAACTGGTTAGTATGTCTGTGGACAATGTAAATAAAGACCCTGCCATTGGTCAGTTGCTGGAGACTGGACAGATGAAGCTAGTTACTGGGGATGGTCGCCAAGGTTACACTCAGGATGGTCCTTTTGATGCAATCCATGTAGGGGCAGCAGCCCCCAAACTACCCCAGGCAGTAAGTGGAAGTATGAATGGAGGCAATATAACATGCACTGGTGTGTGATATCCAGTTTGTTGTTATGATGATAACCTCAATATGTCTTTTTTGTATTTTTGCCTAATGTAACCCTCATCAACCATCTTACATTGTTATAACCAATAAAATGTTTTCTGAATGTGATGAAATTTCAAATGATCTGGCAAATCCTAAAAAAATCTTGAAGAGTTTTATGGAAGATTTGTGCAAAGGGCATCATGCTATTGTATTGATGATAATGATATTATGTTCTGAAGATATGAGGGTGATCAGGGACGTATACTGGGGTGATCTAAATTTAATTTACAATATAAAAAGATACTTCTGATTTTGGAAAGTTTTATTTTACATGAATAAATGTATTTCTGATTGACATCTATTCAAGTATGTGAACACATCGTCTCTCCCTACAGCTGATAGACCAGCTAAAGCCTGGTGGTCGCCTCATCATTCCTGTAGGAGAGCACCACCAGCAACTACAGCAGATAGACAAGATGGCTGATGGCACAGTCCACAAACAGAATCTGATGGGCGTGATCTATGTACCACTGACCAGCAAAGAGAAGCAGTGGCCAAGGTCTAAATAACAACATACTGACCTCACTGAGGTGCATGTCTTTCTGGGGTGATGTCAACCACTTCTCTTGATGCTTATGTAATTTAAATTTGGCTTCAAGTTATTTGAATTCAGCTTCAAGAGATTTGGTACACCCCATCTCCTTAACAAGACTAACACAATCTACCTTTCATTACCCGCAGTTTATAAATTTTCCTACCATTATCTGTTTGGGTATTCTCCCTTATCACAACTACACTCCTGCATCCCTACCACAGTAAGCTAATGACTGGATGTCCTGAGTTGTCACAAAACATATCCAGATACTGTTGTGTCCATATCATGGCAAACTCTACATCGATGTCCCATTTTTCCACATAAACTCAGTCTACAGTGGCAACCAAATTTGTAAGGTAAACACCTCTATACTTTCATCTGTTCCTAAGTATATGTCCTTTCCTGTCCTAAATATAAACCGAGTTCTGCTTCCGTACACATAATATACTGTTCAGTACCTTACCTGACATAACTTTTTTATACACTCCCTTCACATTATGTACTGTGAATCATAATTCTTCTCAGTACCTTACCTGTAACTTCTATTTACCAACCAGTAATTGTAATTCTCATTACCTTACCTGTAACTTCTATTTACTGAGTTCTGCCTCCCTACAAATTACATACTGTTACTGGTATTTGTAATTCTCAGTACCTTACCTGTAACTTCTATTTACTGAGTTCTGCCTCCCTACAAATTACATACTGTTACTGGTATTTGTAATTCTCAGTACCTTACCAGTAACTTCTATTTACCCAATTCTGCCTCCCTACACATTACATACTGTAACTGGTATTTGTAATTCTCAGTACCTTACCTGTAACTTCTATTTACCCAATTCTGCCTCCCTACACATTACAAACCATTACCGGTATTTGTAATTCTCAGTACCTTACCTGTAACTTCTATTTACCCAGTTCTGCCTCCCTACACATTACAAACCATTACCGGTAATTGTAATTCTCAGTACCTTACCTGTAACTTCTATTTACATAGTTCTGCCTCCCTACAAATTACATACTGTTACTGGTATTTGTAATTCTCAGTACCTTACCAGTAACTTCTATTTACCCAGTTCTGCCTCCCTACACATTACATGCTGTTACTGGTATTTGTAATTCTCAGTACCTTACCTGTAACTTCTATTTACCCAGTTCTGCCTCCCTACACATTACATACCATTACCGGTAATTGTAATTCTCAGTACCTTACCTGTAACTTCTATTTACCCAGTTCTGCCTCCCTACACATTACATACCATTACCGGTATTTGTAATTCTCAGTACCTAACCTGTAACTTCTATTTACCCAGTTCTGCCTCCCTACACATTACATACTGTAACTGGTATTTGTAATTCTCAGTACCTTACCTGTAACTTCTATTTACCCAGTTCTGCCTCCCTACACATTACATACTGTAACTGGTATTTGTAATTCTCAGTACCTAACCTGTAACTTCTATTTACCCAGTTCTGCCTCCCTACAAATTACATACTGTTTCTGGTATTTGTAATTCTCAGTACCTTACCTGTAACATCTATTTACTGAGTTCTGCCTCCCTACAAATTACATACTGTTCCTGGTATTTGTAATTCTCAGTACCTTACCTGTAACTTCTATTTACTGAGTTCTGCCTCCCTACAAATTACATACTGTTACTGGTATTTGTAATTCTCAGTACCTTACCTGTAACATCTATTTACTGAGTTCTGCCTTCTTACAAATTACATACTGTTTCTGGTATTTGTAATTCTCAGTACCTTACCTGTATCTAAAATTCTGAGTCCTTTGCAGCAATAAGTGGCCAGTGTATTTTGCTTTGGTCATGATATTTTTCTAATGTCCTTTAGAACAGTAGATGCAAAAAACAGATTAAATACAATTTTGTATAGCTTGAGCTTTTTAAGGAATACTTTGTAATAATAAAGCGATTGTAGGGAACTGATCTATAAAATAGCATGACACACATAAATATCTATGATAAATACACTGTAAGAAGACCAGTAATAAGCATGTAGGTACTTCCCAATAATGTTGTAGATGAACAAGTAGGATTGTTTCAAAAAGGTGGCATGTTTTACAACAAGTTTACTAAAACACTGAAATCAGACACAGTAGTATGATCTGTAATTTATATATATTTATATATGCCTGAGAACAATACATTATTTTGTATGCTAGACTTTGTTACTTGCATATCAGCCAATACATTTAACGATTGACATAGAAAGTAATATGATAGAAAATTGCATTCTCTTATATTTTTATATCATAAAATTTTAATCTGCAATCATCACTTGTTTTTACTGAAAATTAGAGATCCAAATATTTATCTTAAGAATCGGCTATCTGGTATTTTGTGTCATTTTAAACCTGACATTTTAAAACTGAAAATCAAAGTTGATATTGCTGAAATCTTAAATCATTCACTTATTTTGTAATATCATAGTAATATGCCGTTCAATATTACTGACATGGTATTTTTGGTGTTTTCAGATCCACCAGTGATGAACTTTGACCTGAGTTACACACGTCTTACCTATGTTGTTTTGTTACTGGTTAAATTGTTACCCTACTGATGCAACTGTGGATAGTTTTATTGTTATTCTTTCGTGGACAGTCACCTATTCGTAAAATGGCAAACTTTTAAGTTAACACCTGCCTGGTATTCCTGTGGAGCCCGGATATTTTGGATAGTCTCCCTTGAAGGTTGGACCCAAGGATATGATTTTGGCTGTATATGACTTTTAGATGAAGCATGAACATATATTTACTTGTGTGATTCATTTTAATGTGATGTAATTTTCACACAATAGATGGTTTCCAGAAACTTCATGTTTTATCAGAATGGTCTTGGGACAAGAGATCATTGGATGTCATTACTGGTGAAGTGAAGGTACGAATAAATGTTGAATATTATGTGGGTAGCTTCTTTTTTGTTGAAAAAATCATATGCAAATTTGATAGTGAAACTGGCTACAAAATTGAAATGAACTTAATGTTTACATCCTTATTGAGACACATGTTTAGATTACCTAATGATCATGCTGCTGAGATGCATGTGTCTTTCAAACTTTTAACTGTACAATGCCTCATGTCAATAAATCTACCTATCATATGACTAGGTCAAGGTCATTGAAATCACTAGCTGTTCGCCTATTGCTAGCATTGAAGTTTTTGCTGTCAAAGTTTTCGGCAGTTTTTTTTTTAAGCCAAAAGAAAATTTCAAAATCTGTGTTAAGTAGATTGTATGACATTCAATAAAGTGAAGGAATTCTTTCAAATACTTTCTCTCAGTCTGGTCAGAGATTGTTGTCCTCGATTCTTATCATTGTTTTACATCTCACTGTTTCTGATTTTTTTCTTTCTAAAAAGATATTAAAAACTGTGTCATAAGCATTGAATTATTTATATCAAAACACAAAATTAAGGCAGAATATCTGAAGACATATGATATTATATAAAAAGAAATTATACATAATTTGAAGAGTTCTGTAATATTTTTATATTTTGAAAGAGATTACAAGATGTAAATATAGTGTTAAATCTATAATCTGGTGATTGTATCCATAACGTACCACCACATACATGTATCTTTAGTCTTATGTAATTAAATAATACACATATCTATATTTTAGAAAGTGTAAATTAATGAATATTACATGTTTTTTTCATTGTAATCTGGTACTAACTGTAAATGATATTTTCAAAAGTATATGAATTTGAGGTTTGGTAGAAATAAAAATATCACCATTATTTTTGATGAACTTCAGAATATAGAATTTTGTTCTGGTAAAATAAATCACTCTCATAAATCCTACATGTTCTTTATTTAAAGATGAAAAGATAAATAGGTAGAAAATACATGTATTTTGTTGGTATTGATACTAACCATATTTGAATTACCCAACTTTTCCAAAATATTTCCTTGTGGTACATATGTACATGTATTTGATTATTGATGTTTTTCTGTGATGGAGATTCAACAGGTATTGAACTGGAGATTGGAGTCTGTCTGTCCTTCTGATGAAAGCTTTATTGTAACACAATGTTGTACTGGTGTAGACCAATGGTAGACATGGTTATAAATATCTATACTACCGATACCTGATGGGAAGGTTGTAACCTGTGTGTTGGCAGCTTTCCACGGTTGTGATCAATATTGCTCTCACTTCTTTTTTTCGAATGCTTGTTAAATTGCATATAGCTTGAATTTAATAAATTATGTTGATGAAATTTGGAAGTGAATTTCTTTTCTTAAAGGTCCTAGCTTATACATACTTGCATACAAGGTATGTCTATTTGTGTGTCAGCCATACAATATTTATGCACAATTCAGTTACACAATTCTAAAATTTTTCAAAGCAAAAGAAAAAAAATAAATTTAATACCAAAGGGCTGAGAAATTCTCTACCATTGTAGAGGTTATTTTTTTCAATTGTCGAACTTTTTGCAGGCCTAAGGGGTTATCGTTTTAGAAATTCTTTTCTTGTCTCATCTTGTTTTCCTCAGAATAAAATATCCTAAATCTCCATTAGTGGTGACAAAGCATCGGTTGTCTTATTGTAATCGATCACATTGGGCAGTGTTGAGGCACTGGCTGGAGGTCAGTGTTTTTTCTCCATGAACACCAGCTTTCCTCCAACACCCAAACCCGGCACATCCTTAAATGGCCTTGACCATTAACAGAACGAAACACCACAATAAACTAAATCTCAACTTTTTAGAACTTTGCTTTGAAAGTCATATTTCACATGTAAGTATAGAGAAATGCTAGCCACTTGAAATTCACTGGGATGGCAAAATTTGTCTGTAGCTAATTCATTAGTGTCGTACTGCTGGTAATTTAAGGATTGCCAATTTTATTATTAGTAAGGGCATCAAAAGCAACAATCCTCTTTGTGCCCATTACATATGTAGTTGCAGAAAACAATGTTAGCTATGATTCATGTTTAGGAATTGTATATACAATACATATCTGGCTATTCAGTACCACATCATGATGTCCTAACAGATCCGTGTTTGACATAACAATAAGGCAGAATATATTCACAGTACTGTAACTGGACATAAACAGAAAACAAGTTTACAGTACATTTTTGTGTTTCTTATTTAATCTACATATCATGATCAAATACATGCCAAATAATCAAATACATATCAAATTTCTATGTACACAAAATAAACTTGCATATATATTTCAAAGCATTTACTGGTATCACTTTCTGCAAAATATACATGGCTTAAATCCACTTTCAGATACCAATACCCTTAATATAACTTTTCGCATTGTAGACATAAACTTAAATTAACATTTAGAAGAAAAAGGCATGTAGTGTTAACACTTATAACAATCAAAATGCACTATTGTAGTCGAAGACACTGAAGGAGGAAGAGCACTTTTTAAGGAAAGACATGAAAGAGCAGGACAGAAAAAACATACACAAAACGAACATGTAACTGAAAGCAGTAATACAAGTAAACAAAGTCCATTAATAAATAAACAGAGAAAAAATCTGTTTCACTTTAGTATTTGCACAATAAATTCAAACCTATTCAAAATTAAAACCATGATGTATGTTTGCAAAATACAAAATAGCACAGGATCTTTTTATATTGTGTTAAAAAAGTAAATTTGGTACACATATTTTTCTACATTACATTAAAAAGTAGAAGTTCTTTTTTACATAATAAAAATTAAATCAGTTACTATTTCATATAGCATTACAATAAAAATCAATATTGTATATATATTTAGAAACTTTATCTTAAAAATCTTAGAAAAATTTTTTTTTAATCTTTATAAACTAGACCAGCTAAAATTTATTAGTTTTTTCCAATTTATTTTAAAAAAATCTTTTTTATCATCAAATATGAACATTTTTGTTAAAAGACTTATAAAACTGTAGCTATTCATATTGACCTATCACAATATATATATTTACAACACTAAACTGGGCAGCTTTAATGCATAAAATAATACATTAAACTAGCTAAGTTCCTTATCGATATTCAAATTATGTTCATCTCATCTTTAGTATTTTTTATTATGTTTTTGGCTGCCTTACATTTCCTGAACTCATCACTAAATGAGCCATACAATAACAAGTTGTATAGCTGGCTGCTGCCATTGTATACTGAGGATATGGTCCAAATGAGAGTGCTTCCAAACAAAGGCTTCATACAATATTTCCCCACTCTCTTCAGCAGATTTTAATGTATGAACACTACTCATACATATTTCATACACCAGTACACTGTTAAATGGGATAATTTCACCAGTGACAAAGACTGTCAACACAAAAAGAAATCAAGACCTAATAGTGAGCAGTAAAAACACCTTTTACATTAACAGAAAAAGGAATAAGTTTATGTGTTGATATTATAACTTTTTAATAGAATGTAAAAAAATTAAGAATTTTATTATTGGATCATTTAAGAGAAAGTATATGAGGTGACAATTTTGATCTGTAAAGACTTTTTTGTCCACATTATGAGTTTTTGTAATATTCAAATAAAGTTAAACAAGAATATATCGTAATATGTAAAGTTGTTTGTTTACACTGAAGTCATGAACAACTCAAGTTGAGTTGCTTTGTTTTATAAACAATACATGATTTGTAAATCAAAATCTTAAGTTTAAAAATTTTAAAAACATACTGCTTCAACCTTGGAAAAGGAGTTCCATCAAATAACTGAGATTGATACTGGTACTTCAGTATAAACATATCTTATCATGGACAACATTTCATAACATAACAAAACCATAACATAGCACTTGATGCTGGTGACAGATTACAGAGGATGTCGTCAATATCATGGTACAGATGAATCAAGATACATAACTATTTATCAATGGTGAAACTTAATCATAACTATGACAATATATACATATACATGTACCTACATAAAAACAAAAAACCTGTACATTACTCATGATGTGTCTATTCTTTTTACAGATCAGAACTGCTGCCATAGTAATTTGTACAAGTCAAAACATATCTGAAATATCAATGTGCGAAAAGTCGTTAGACCTTTTAACAATATAACATGGTTTTAAAGTTTTACCATAAGAAATTGCTGAATATTATTAACTTGTCTAATGATCATTACTTCCAAAATGAAATTAAAAGATAAACATTCAAACAGTTTAGAATGACTGTTTCAAAATATTTTTGATTACAAAAGGTCAAAACCAGCATTTCATTACCAAGTAAAAACATTTCAAATACAAACAGATGTCATTAATCTAAATCTTCACTGTTATGAAGATGAAAAACTTACACACTGTAAAAGTGAATAATGCATATTGTAATAATAATGAGAATCACAGACATACAAGTTTAAACATTCATATCACATTTATAACCAATGAATTGATGAGCACATTTTCTCCCGTAATTCTTTCTTCTCTCTCTCCTACCTCCTCCAGTACACTGTTCACCTAAGCATTACACTGAAGTCAACCCTGATACTGAGGAAATAGCTTTCATTCCAAAGTGACAACAAGGTATCACGCCCGCATACACCCAGCCATCTGCTGAATCTGTAATAATAGTTGCTGCTCCTTCTCTGCAAAAAGTGCTGCCATCTTTGCAAGTTCATTCTCTAACTTTTCAGCTCTGGCCTTCTGTTCCTCTTTCTCCTTCTTAAGTAATTCCTCCCTGTTGAGTGCTTGTATCGTTTCATCAACAGCCTCATTCCTAACTGCAATGGCAGTATTGTAATTCCTCATGGCCTCCAGTTTCTCCTGCTCTGCCCTCTTCTTCTCCTGCTCTGCCCTTCTCTTCTCCTGCTCTGCCCTCTTCTTCTCCTGCTCTGCCCTCTTCTTCTCCTGCTCTGCCTTCTTCTTCTCCTGCTCTGCCTTCTTCTTCTCCTGCTCTAGTAAAGCCTCCCTATTTAGAGCATCCTGTTTCTCCTGCTCTGCCTTCCTCTTCTCCTGCTCTGCCCTCTTCTTCTCCTGCTCTGCCCTCTTCTTCTCCTGCTCTAGTAAAGCCTCCCTATTTAGAGCATCCTGTTTCTCCTGCTCTGCCTTCCTCTTCTCCTGCTCTGCCTTCCTCTTCTCCTGCTCTGCCCTCTTCTTCTCCTGCTCTGCCCTACTCTTCTCCTGCTCTGCCCTACTCTTCTCCTGCTCTGCCCTACTCTTCTCCTGCTCTGCCCTCTTCTTCTCCTGCTCTAGTAAAGCCTCCCTATTTAGAGCATCCTGTTTCTCCTGCTCTGCCTTCCTCTTCTCCTGCTCTGCCCTCTTCTTCTCCTGCTCTGCCCTACTCTTCTCCTGCTCTGCCCTACTCTTCTCCTGCTCTGCCCTACTCTTCTCCTGCTCTGCCCTACTCTTCTCCTGCTCTGCCCTACTCTTCTCCTGCTCTGCCCTACTCTTCTCCTGCTCTAGTAAAGCCTACCTATTTAGAGCATACTGTTTCTCCTGCTCTGCCTTCCTCTTCTCCTGCTCTGCCCTACTCTTCTCCTGCTCTGCCCTACTCTTCTCCTGCTCTGCCCTACTCTTCTCCTGCTCTGCCTTCTTCTTCTCCTGCTCTGCCCTACTCTTCTCCTGCTCTGCCCTACTCTTCTCCTGCTCTGCCCTACTCTTCTCCTGCTCTGCCTTCTTCTTCTCCTGCTCTGCCCTACTCTTCTCCTGCTCTGCCTTCTTCTTCTCCTGCTCTAGTAAAGCCTCCCTATTTAGAGCATCCTGTTTCTCCTGCTCTGCCCTACTCTTCTCCTGCTCTGCCTTCTTCTTCTCCTGCTCTAGTAAAGCCTCCCTATTTAGAGCATCCTGTTTCTCCTGCTCTGCCCTCCTCTTCTCCTGCTCTGTCCTGTTAGCTCTGGTCCTCTCTATTTCAACTTGTTCTGTTAAGTGTTCTGAAATGGGGATAAATCAGAATCAAATTTTCAATCAAAATAAAAATGACAAAACAAACATTAATCAATTAGGCATTACTCTCTATTCTATTCTTTAACCTATTCAAAATGTTTATCATAAATAAATTCAGTGGGACAGTTTAGTGAAATAGTACGTAAAGCAGCACCAACAGATAAACATACAACCATGTCTGTTTCAGAGAAACTTATTTACTGTAAATAAACAGATGTACATGTATTTCATTTTAATCCTACTTAAACATTTATACAGCCATAAACAATGTGTTACAATACTTCTTGGCAAATGTAGGATAAGTATACTGTAAAAACCCACATAATGTGTACATTTTCTTTTTGAGAAAATAAATGTCCTAAGTTGGGGGTGCACACATTACGTAGCGACAGGATTTTCAAGGTTTTTTTCATGGAAAAATTTAAGATTCTGTGAGGTTGCCATCATTGTTTGTCAGGATTATCTGGCACTGAAAACTGATACAAAACAGATTTGATGATTTATCTATAAACAAATATCATAATCAAGATAATTTCTGTATATATTAATGCAAACTATCTGAGTGAGTATCATGCAAAACCTGGACGAAAAAGTGATGGCAACTAGACAGACAGAAAACTAACGATCAGCAAAGACAGGGACCTGTTTGGGACATCGAAAAATATGTTGATAATAATTTGATTATCTTTTGAAACCCTGGTACTACTTTCTATAGCGTACACTATTGAGACATCATTTCATCAATTCACTTATCTATTCCAATTTAAAAACGCACTACACTACAATTATGTAAAAAATATTTGAGACTCAAACTTGTACAATCTGTAGCACTATTATTGCCTAGCCATGAATATTCCCAACTCCATGACCACTTCATGAGATAATCTTCATAAATGATTTTTTTTACAACAAATAAAATCGCTTTTTCAAACGGATATTTATGTTTCAAAAGCGATATACGAGTAAATCTGAATGTAATTCTGTTGAATTAATGCACATGCTAAAATGCAGCTGTTTTCCATTACTGCCAAATACTGCAAAAATAAATATGGAATGTGGTGTGTTGTGACAATGGCGGTCCAAGTTGCAGGATAAATACTGATTCAGGTATCTGTATCATCCAAATGCCTACATGTCATGATGACAATGTCAGTGGTCTAAAATACCAAGGCCTACTTGTTTGAAGATATCATGATGTGGTTGATAAGTTAAGGAGTTGTAAACATTTCTTGACAATGAGTGACTTTGTGCTGTAGTCATGATTTTCAACCTTAAGTAGTGTACCAGTCGAAAGTTGTCTCCCTTTGTCATTGTGTTCCAATGCATTTCAAACATATCTAGCGTAAACATAAACAGCTGTAACATGTTTAGAAAACTTAACAAAACTTATGCGAAAATCATTGTACACTGAATATTAAAGCCAAAGAAATGAATGGCCTCACGATAAGAGTTTAACACTGACCTAACCCAGTACCTTTGATTCTGTTCCACTGCAGTTCAAACTGTTCCTGGGTCGGTTCTCCAGGATCTGTAAAAAGTTAAACGATTAAGTCATATCTGATATATCAACCAGTCTGTTATTGTGTCCATATACATCCTTCCAAACTAAATCAGACACAGAATTATAAAGGAAATATTTTTTTCTTTTTTTTTCTGTTTATTAGTGTGCAAACTGCATTATGTTCACAGATATATCAAATGAAACAAGTTAAGCTGAAATATGTGTAAAAAACTGCAAGTTTCATTTTGACAGTCATTTTTTCTATTAAAAGAAAATAATACATAATCGTCATTCATTGGATGCTATATATACTGACAAACAGCCTGACAACTGCTGGATAGTAAAACAGCTGATTTGAAATAGGTGGGAAACCTGTTGTTAACTTCAGGAAGTTAAGAAAAATGGTTCCACAATAGATAGAGAATACACACAGAAAATGTAAACAGTGATTATATAAGATCATGATGACTTACAGGCAGCATGACAATAGCGGAGACAGAGTTTGACATCTGCAGAGAATGCAAACTTTCCTGTTCCTACATACATATTCAATATGGCATCCTCTGCAGGCACCAATGTGTTCAGCAGACTCTTGAATGTGATGCCTACCCCTGAAATTCAAACATTTAATTGGTTAAACACAAAGCTTGAATCTGTTTATTTCAAGCAGCAATTCGTTTTTATTACATCTAAACATTTTTACAGGCAATACAAAATTGAATACATGTACAATACTGTTTAACTTTATACAATGTAATCCATTCAGGAGATCCCAGAACATCCTTGACATCAAATATGTTTGGGATTATATGGATAATATGCATGTTTTTGATTAGATTCTGAAAATATTGTACTAAGGAGGCCCAAAGGGTAACCAGGAAATGCCTAGCATCATTTCTACCTTATTTGATCAAAATCTGATGAGTGGTCTCCTGGAAAAGACCAATTTAATTTAAATACACACATTGTGAACTGTTTGGTATGCTGCGACCAGACCTTCCAGGGTCATGTAGACATAACCAGGCATTTTTCAAGGGGCTCTGTTGGGCAGAATATTGGCCCCATTTCCAATAAGATTTATTACATAATATGGCCAAATTCCTAAAATATATAGTTCATTCCTGAAAAATTCTTTTCTAATTGATCCTACTTTTACTCAAAATGAAATTCTAAAAAGTCCACTCCAGAATATAAAGAAAAAAAAATAAACCTGGTGGGGTCAACAATTTGCCAAATGTTTTCATATATTCCCTTATGGTTGTATATCTTGTTGTCAGGATATTTCAATGTTAATTAAATTTTCAGAGCTATTCTATGTGGAAATGGAACTGTAATAAAATTATGTAACTGTGACCTCCTTATTACTTTTTAACATTTTAAAAACTTTATTCTTTAGATGTAATATTTTTTAAGCACACAAAAACTGTAACTTTCCCTCCAATGTATGCATTGTTTGTAAGAATTAGCTTAAACAATGAAATTTTTATTTTAAATCTTTTACTTAGACGATGTGCAAGCTGTCTAACCTTAATGTCTTCCAGCTAAAAGTAGCATTTATCACAGTGGCCACCCAATGATCCAAAATATAGGTGTATTCACCATTAAAAGGACATAATAAAATTTGAAATTTTGCTTTTGTTTATAAAATCATAGTACATGTATATATCCCTTTATTTGAAAAAAAAATGAAACAAGCGAAAAATTGTTTGTACATTTGGACAAACATATATGCATATTTTTAAAGCCTTTTGACCTTTAAATTGGTCACACAACTCTTCATTTGACTTCTATCACTGTAAATCTTTCTACTGACCAGTATTTGCATGAAGGAAAAGGAGTTTACCTAAACATTACTTTGTGACTTGACTTTAGATCATGCAACTTTACTTATGATTTCTAACCCTGCATCAGTTACAATTATAGACATTTGACCTCACACTTCTTCATTTCACTTCAATCAATGCTCTTTCTGATTATGCAATGATGAAAATACCAGTCAAACATCATTTTACACTTAACCATGACTTTTGGCCCACCAACATCTGAATTTTTCTCCGAATTTAAGATAGCATCATAGCAAGCAATATTAATTCATTGAAACTTTAAGAAAATGCGACAATAAACTCTGAAAAACAATTCAATATGGTTGCTTTTTGCTTTGCATATTAACAAACAAAAGTAATAATTAATTACTTAACCAGGACCCATGAAGGGTTCAGATGTCTGCATTACAATCTAACTACATTCCAGGTTTGGAACAGAACTTGTACTTTAATTAATTTTAAAAGAAACTCATCAAGAGCTAAACTCATTTTGGAGTTGCTGGAAACTAGATGTAACTTTCTGAGCGACCATTCTAAATAGAAAAATTTTAAGATAAACTGATCAAGAGCTAAACTCAAAACTTAAAAAAAAAGTCTTTCTCAGCATCCCTTATTTTTGGAGTTGCTGGAAATTGGATTTAGCTTTCTGAGCAACCATTTTAAACACAATAGTTGAAAGGGACATGTTATCAACAATACTGTCACCACTAGAAAAGTAGCACCAAAGTCTGGCTCCCACCACGCTTTGTCCCAGGTGAGGTAAAATTGAAATCAAAGATGACTTCCTTCACATCTTTAAACAGGGATGTAGCCACAACTAGGCCAATGTCTCAAAGGGAATGTTTTAGAAATCTTATGGGAGGTTGTGTGAAATAGTTTTAGATAAACAGCCAAGAGAAATTTGACCACAAGTCTAAGATGGCCTCCTCTGTCACTCTGCATCCACTATAAAACACCCAAACATTCCAATGAACAAAAATGATGCAGTTCCACTACACTCAAAGTGGAAATGGGTATCAAATCAAGAAAATTTTTTAAATTATGCGATGTGAATATTCACGAACATGTAATTTTCACTGAAATCACATTTAATTCTGTACTTCTTCTACCATATACTAGCCTACTTCATATAGTCGATAGTAATAGTAACACTTCACAGACTGAACATAATGAATGTAATATGAATTTATATTACGATACTTACATTAATTAGTTCAATTTAAACAATCCTTTATTCAATTCATCCAATGATATTTCACATATATATATCTATAATTAATTACATTTCAGGAAGCTTATATTAATTCCTATCCCACCTTTTATACAAACATATCAAAACGTGATACTTGAACATTGAAAATTTCAAACCAGGTTCTATTTCCTCCTCCTCTCTAACCTTTGAACAATTTTTTCAACACACAAACAATAGGAACCCTTCTTGTTCTCATCTAGATACAAGGTTTTGGTATGGGAGGTGGAGTGCATAAATGGACACATTGTTTTCTGAATTAATTGGTTGTGGTGTAGCTCCTGATACATCCATGATCACTGCAGTATTGGGGGAAGGTTGGTAGGGTTGGATGCAATGGTGATGTCTGAAAATACTTGGGACTGGCACATTATTGGTTATTTCCATGCTTTCTTTAGTGTTGCAGAAGAATATATTTTGAATACATCTATGGTTTCCGAAATATTTGGAGGTGAGGTTAAAATATTCATGTACAGTAACCAGGCCTTGTGTCTCACCAACCAACTAACAATATTATACATATTGCACATATTATTGGTGTTGCAATATAATATGTATTATGTATGCCTAATCCCAGTGCAATTATCTGAGGACCCACCACACTTAATTAGGTTTTCTACCAGAAAGAACAAAAAAGAAACATAAAAACACACAAAAATCCTACCCTTCCTATATCTTTACTTCCAATCTAATATGAACTGATAAATTTTGATTCTAAATTACAAGTAACATGATTAAAACTGGAAACTGTTTAGCAATTTGTGTAAGGTGTGTCAATTGTCTACAATGTCTCACAAATAGCGTTAATAGATATTCTTCAGAAAAATTACCAGGAGTGCTCAAATTAGTATATCATCTCACTGCTGTATTATAGCTGTATTGTATCAAAGTAAAAAATTTGCCAATATCGTTATGTAATATAAGATCATTACACCACTATCAGAGACAAAAACAATAATATTTGTAAATATTGTGAGTAATCTTGAGGTTCAAATATCATTTGAAATTATTACCAGATGAGTAATGTACTGTGAGTCTATCATTTATATTACATATATAAAAATATACGGTACCTCTTTCATGAAGACTTTGCAGACCAAGTATGATCTGTCTATCTGTGAAATTCAGCTTCTCCTTCATGACCCTGACATGGGGCTTCACCATTTCCAGACTGATCCAATCCTGTGCTTGGTCTGAGGCTTCAACAACAACAACATCCGTGGGTAAATACTCTCTCTCCATGCTAGAGGCATACAGATTTTCAAAGGTGATCAGATCCTCATAATCACCTAACCACACTGGTTCATAGAAATGATCCTGGAAACTTGGCCTATTGTAAATCAATACACCATCAGGAACATACTTGTACTGCAATCCAAGCAGATCTACAGATTTCCAGAAATCTACAACACCTACTCTGGTGTTTCTGCGCTGATCAAACCTCGAGTAGGAAAGGATCTCCATCAGCCTATTATCAATGTTCTCTTCACTAATGTAGAATTCATCAAGTTCATCCGATGTTTGGATGCACTGTACACGTAAAAGCTCTTCTATATTGATGAAAAGTGGTTTATCAAAGTGTCCATCCACTGCCATCTTTATTTCTTGCAATATTTCGTGAAGTATACAATCTGAAAGTAGAGTAAAATCAGACTTTATTTTCTATCACACATATTCTAGGCCAATATGTTTTAATATAACTTATGATACTTATTTTTGTGTCTATAAAATGATCTGACCAAAAGCATATCCACCAATATCATGTCAATCTCTTATCCAACATCAAATGATGTAAATTTCTCAGTGATGTCATGCATGTCACTAGGTATGATATCGGTAAGTTTTGAAAATAACACATAAGATTTCCTCAGATACCAAATTTAACATTTGGATGGAGTAATGTCTGCACCCAACACACTAATGTAGGAACCTGAAGAAACTTTCGCTGGTTGGAAAGAAAGTGTCACAAAAATCGCTTAATTTAAGATGACTGTCAAATTCACAAAAATCATAGTCTCAACAACCTGATTAAGCTCATTATTTGCTTATATTGGTGCACTTGGATACAAGAATTCTAGTGTGAGCTTTCGGTGTACTTGTAAAAAGCTACATACACATTATCATTATAAAGTTGAACAGCAAACGCACGTTGGTTTACAAAAAAAAGAGGAGGAGTTTAGAACTATGAATCTTACTAATCATAGAACTAAAAGAGAGAACTTGACACTTTATATGTAAAATGGTATATCATTCGGTACTTGGAGATAAACTAAAACCAGAGGAAGAACAAAAGGATAATATAAATACACTGAAGTGGTGATTTAGCATTTCAAAAACTATAAATGTAGATCGAAATTATTACAGATCTCTGGAAAATGCATCAGTTTGTGCAGTTTGACAGGTGCACTATTGCCGTCGTTTTGTTGGCGTTCTGAACAAAATAAGTAGTTTCTTAGTGGTTAACTAATAATATGTGCATATTCAGTTGTATTATTATAATATTTAACATCTTTCGTACGAATCAAACACTTGTTTTGGTTGGTTCTTCACATGTGAACTTTCATGTTGTTATTTTCTGACAAGTGTCAAATCTAATTTTCGCCTAAATAATTCCACAGTGCTACACTTTGACCTGCACATATTGTGCATACATTCTCACAGACTCGTATTTTTGACTACAAATGTATGTGTCAACCAGTTATGGAGAAGAAAGCAAAAAATATGTACCTACCGTAATCAGGCCAAACTAGTTTATTTCCACAAGAATATATCCACCATGTTTTTGTTCCAATTCAATGTCCGATAGGCGCTTAGCGTTGATGGTCTTCCTCGCCGCTACTCAATAGAACGTTTGACAGAGTCGGACGAAGGATTTTGACTGGCTGGCGCGAATTTTGCGGCAATATTAAAAAACGAAATGTCGCTTATTTTCATTAAATTATATCTTTACCCATTATGTTGCCTGGAAAACATAATACGCTACAAGACTTCCCTGCGTTGTTACCGTTTGCAATCAGATTCACACGACAATTTGTCATATTATTCCCTTGATATTGAAAGAAGGAGAAACAGCTCTTAGCGATGTATGAAAACAGGCTGGAAAAACTATGGAGAATCATCCGATGAATTATGACTTTGATGCAGAGCATGGACTAGTCACCACTTACGTTTATCCCGGGTGAATTTCGAATTCGTCGATACAGACACATATACATTTGTAGTAGTTTTACTAACTTAAATATTTGATTGTAGAATACTTGATGTTTTTTTCGATGATTAGCTAAATGTGGCTGCTGCAAGCTTGTTTAGAATAAAATAAATCTTCACGACCACGAACTTAGAATCCTTATAGCCTATATAAGTCTTTTCCTACAAGTTACAAGTTACCGGAGCTGTTTATTTTATTTAAGAGTATAATATAAATTAAGGACGGAAGCTGAGAAGAATAATGAGCATAAATATGAAAATAAAACACATTCTCACTCACTCTCATACATGTATTATAAATGAAATTCAGTTAGAACTTGCAATGATATTTTACTTGAAATTTACAAATCGTTTAGTTTTTTTAAGATAGGAGCTAGTATTTTCAAGTATAATTCTAATCACCACGTCAGTCATACCAATGATTCACAAACCCGAGAAGATTATAAATAGTGGTAATGTGATGCCTGTAATTTACATGAAGGGGACATTGGAAGAAGTAATGTACTGAGTTCTCTGTAGCAGCACCACATGCACAAGAACCATCATCAACCAAATGATCCATAAATTTATCAAAATTGAAATCACTAGCACTGTTTCGTAACTGACAAAGAATAATATTTAGATTTCTAGGGACACAATTTAAGAAAATATCAGAAACTATAAACGGGAAAACAGTTTTTTAGTTTTGATTTGAAGCTAGAGATTAAAATAGAGTTTTTAATAGTATCATCAAGAGAGTGCCAATTATTCATAGTGGAAGGGAAAACTGTTTTTATAATTGTTAGTCCTGGCAGAAGGTACATTGAAGAATCTTTCATGTCTAAATGCATAATTATGGTTTGTATTCATGGAAGGTTGAATGATATTAAAAAGATACTTGGGTGCAAAATTATTGATAATCTTGAACATTAGTGCAAGTTTGTGATTATGTCTTCTAGTTTGTAATGTTTCTAATGTGTTTCAGAGTAAAGAATTCTGTGTGATGTACCCTTTCTTAGTCCAGTTATAATTATCATAGCTTCAATTTGAATAGATTCTAAGAAATCATTTTCAGCTTTTGAGCAGTTATCCCAAACTATATCGGAGTATTCTAAAACAGGTGTGATATAAGATATGTAAATTGTTTTAAGGGTATTTCTATCAACTTTATGTTTGATCATTCTAAGTATGTTAAGTCTGGATGAAGCTTTTTCATGAATTTTAGAAATATGATCAGACCAAGTACCTTTTTTGTTAAATGCCTAGATGTTGATGAAAGTCATGTTGTGTTATCAGGTGGTTATTAAAGAATAGAGGAGGTGATTATTATTATGTTTTCGTGAAAAGGTTATAGCTAGTTTTATTAGGATCAAAAAGTATTTGCCATTTATTAACCCAATCAGATATTGAGGAGAGATCATCATTAAGTAATTTTGCAGGTGTATCAAGGTCATTTTCATTTTCTATAATTATATAAAAAGAAGTAATATCTGCAAATAATTTAACAGTAGAGGTAACATTATTGGTGATATCATTGATGAAAAGAAGAAACCGCTAGGGTTCGAACTATTTCGACTCTTCACTCTCCAGCTGGACACTACTACCGCTGGGTTCGAATTATAGCGACCCTTCAGTCTCTAGTCGGACACTTTAGGGGGTTTGAACTATAGCGACCCTTCAGTCTTTTAACGGACACTCTACCACCGCTGGGGTTTCGAACTATAGCGACCCTTCAGTCTCTAGCCGGACACTCTACCACCGCTGGGGTTTCGAACTACAGCGACCCTTCAGTCTTTTAACGGACACTCTACCACCGCTGGGGTTCGAACTACAACGACCCTTCAGTCTTTTAACGGACACTCTACCACCGCTGAGGTTCGAACTACAGCGACCCTTCAGTCTCTAGCCGGACACTTTAGGCGGTTTGAACTATAGCGACCCTTCAGTCTTTTAACGGACACTCTACCACCGCTGGGGTTCGAACTATAGCGACCCTTCAGTCTCTAGCCGGACACTCTACCACCGCTGGGGTTCGAACTATAGCGACCCTTCAGTCTCTAGCCGGACACTTTAGGGGGTTTGAACTACAGCGACCCTTCAGTCTTTTAACGGACACTCTACCACCGCTGGGGTTCGAACTATAGCGACCCTTCAGTCTCTAGCCGGACACTCTACCACCGCTGGGGTTCGAACTATAGCGACCCTTCAGTCTTTTAACGGACACTCTACCACCGCTTGGGTTTTGAACTACAGCTACCCTTCAGTCTCTAGCCGGACACTCTACCGCTCGACTAAAAGATCCATCAAAGAAAAATTCAAACCCTTAAAACATCATATACAAAAACAATAGAGCAATCCTATTGGAAATACATAGAAGGTATCGTCACTCAGTTGATTACAAACCAATGACAAATTCTGGACGTATATTAAACATAAAAAACGACAGCAATGGCATAAGGGCACTGAAGTATAATGGCAAACTCCACACCGATCCATCCGACAAGGCCAATTTACTGAACAACCATTTTCAATCAGTCCATTCGAGCAACGACAACACTAGATCAGAGACACACAGATGCTGACAGCGTGACATTCCTGTGATGTCAAATATTCACAAACTTCCCCCCCCCCCAACACACACACACCAACATCAAAACAAAAACAAACAAAAACAAAAACTGCTGATCCTGACGACATCAAACCAAAGATCAAGAGTTCGCATCCAAAATTTCCCCATTCTCTGCATCGTCTTCCAAAGGTCATTAGATACATGTTATGTATGATTGGTGACAGCTAACATCGCTCTAGTATACGAAAATGGCCTAAAAATATCCAGTTGTATTTTCTGTAAAATACTTGGACACATTATCGTCAGTAACATCATAAACTATGCTGATAACAACAATATTATATATCCGTTACAGCATAGATTAAGACAATCCAGGTGTCATGTGAAAGCCAACGAATCATTTCTTGTAAGCTGGAAGATGGAAAAACAAACAAATATATTAATCATGAACTTTAACAAGGCCTTTGACAAAGTAAGTCATTCACTACTTATCCGTAAACCTAAGGGTTATGGAATGACTGGAAAAGCTATTGCCTAGATGTCTAACATCCTATATTGTAGAACCCAGTCTGTCGTGGTAGAAGGGGAAATGACCGATCCTGCCCTAGTAAGATCCGGATCCAAGGCTCGGTGCTTGGGCCGAGTCCTTTTCTATATTACATCAATGACATTGCTGATGATTTAAATTCTACCATCACGTACATGGCCATAACATCGCAGCAAGATGCCAACTCCCTGCAAAGAGATTTGGATAGATCAGCACTTTGTGAGAAACAAGGGAATTTCCACTAGTCAAGGCTAGTAAGGCGACCAGCACTCCCAACTTCTACATGTCATTGATAACAGATTCTGTTGAAGTACTCGCGGGTCTGACCCAGACTTGATGTTCCCATACAGAAGTCTGTCACCTGTGAAGAACTTTACTTTGGAACCTGCCATCTCCGGAAGGTCGTTGATGAATGAAAGGAAGAGTATATGAGCACTAGCCCGATATTACCGATGTCGTTGACGATGACATCGCATCAAAGAGTAATTAGCTGTTGTGTCCTGTTCTTGATGAAGTCCCTTATTCACGCTTCTTTTTATGTGCAAGAAAAATGCTTGCTTGTAGAGTACGTGTTTGTGGTACACGCCGTCAAAAGAATCAGCAAAGTCTAGCAGGGCAATGTCTACTTGGCCTCCCTTGTCTTTGGTACTAAGGAGGTCATCGATGGTAATGACAAGCTTGGTCTTGTCTTGTCTTGCAGGAACACTTCGATTGCATTCTGTGTTGTTAGTCAGAATGGAGAAATCGTTCAAATGGTCCATTACATGGCTGTGTGCTGTAGCATCGACCGATTTTCAGCTTTTCGGTGTTTACATGATTGCCACCTCTCCAATCATCTGGTATGGTACTGCTCTCAACAGACTCCTGATATAAAAATGATAGGATTGGCAGGGCGTGGCTGGTGTAGTCATGCAGGAATCGTCTGGTACAGCGACCGTCTGTACCTTGATGTTTTGTAACGATATGAGTACTGCATTCTCACTCAAAGAGATCTTAGGTAAAGATAGTCCCTTCGTCTCTTATCTGGTAAAGGTGTCATGTAATCCGAGGTATATACTGAATGGAGCTCATCAATTATAATTTCTGCCTTCCTCTTTGGTGTCACTGTAGAGTATCTAGACCTCCTACTTTTGGTGCTACAGTATCCTGTCGTTTCCTCTTCAGGTACGACCAGGAACGGTTATTATTAGCACATCGCCGATGATGACTTCGTCTATCGTATGTATCTTGTGTCCCTCTGTGTTCGAAATTTCAGATATCTGTATTTTTGCCGATCTCTCTCCTTGGTGATCCATCTGGCTCTGCCAAACGCCCATTGTTTTCTTCATAACAGTCACTGAATGTGGCGTCTGATGTTATTATCAAGGTTCTTCAATTTTCTCACGATGCTTGGTTTGTCTGCTGTATCCCACAGGTGCATTTTTCTCTAGTTGGATTTGATACATTTTGCCATGGTGACGAAGTCCACTTACTGGCACCATAACAACATTCTCGGCCCCATCGGCTGTCAAACTTATTGCTATACCATCTGACAGAGTTAAACGAAGGGCAGTAACTCTGGGGCATCATAAGGCACATCATGCGCTGGTAAGAATTTACACTTGTTGACAGCTGTAGTTTAAGTTGTATAGAGGAGGCCAGATGTCTTATCCTCATGCCAAGAGCAGGTAACTTGCACAAGAGCCAGGACATCTTGTATGTTGGCAAAGACTTCGTTGACTGTTATTGGTACTAACCTGCCCATTAGTCTCAGTAGTGTTCATACAATGATGTATATAACATATATTATAATACAGAACATGATTCCAAACCAAGCTGTAATTTTCCTTGTCACAACATGTATTTTCTCCAATTCAAATCTGAGGTTTTCCGTTTAGCTTTTGTTTGTTTGTTTATTTGAGGTTTTCCCCTCTTTTTATGCCAACAAATGATGACCTGATTTTTGCTATATTACTTTACAACAATTTACAGATCAGGATTGAAGTTTGTTCTTTCTCGCATTCCTTAAAAAATTTCCATAGAGTTTAGAGAAGGGGTTTGGTGGTGGCCATTTGTTTAAGTAGCCCACATATACTGGTTTATGTCAAATGAACCACCACTGAAATGTTATTGCGTGTAATATCTTCTACAAAATTATATGTGTAATTATACTTTCCACCTGTAAATTAAAAACAAAGGACAATATCCTTTTAAACGATTGTAGTGTAATATATTGCCGGGCCTGCAGGATATCGGCAATACTGGTCATTCTTATTTCAAATTAAAACATCTATATCAGAAACATCTTACTTACCTTCTAAAAACGAACTGTACAATCGTTTCAAAGTACGAGCGATAGTCGTGCGAATATAAGAAGTCAGCAAGAAAATAAAGTAAGGTCGCAATGCTCCAAAACATTATGATGGAGATTTGTTGCAAGAAATGAGAACAAAATCAGCTTTCAGTTACTAGTTTTGGCAGGTATAACAACAGAATATGCTTATTGCTTCAATTTAAAAAGCTGTTGCTCCAAACATACAATGTAGCTGGTGTCATGTTATGAAAAGTAACTTTTCTCCCAAAATATGCAATACAATGAGACAAATTCCATCATCCGATAAAAGTTTGAGTCGCAATATATTGATAATATTTAGTCACTTTAGCCTCTTAACAAACAGTTCCATAGCAGTGGATCATTACTGTCATTAGTGAATATAAGGAATTCTTCCGCTTGGAAGGAGCTGCAGCAATGTTCGGTTGGACACCTTAATATAGGATCTGGTGCCTGAAATACACACGCTAGTGTTCTTGAAGTTAGTAAGCATTTATGTAACAATTTTTGAGAATGATATACACTTTAACAGTGTAGCATTACATTATTTTTCCTTAAGCACTGCCATGTACTTTATCTTGGATTTAGACAGTTATGGTGTGGTATCCTCCTTTTTGAAGTACCTCGTTGTCACACGTGCAATGTTAGATTTCCGTCTGATCAAATCAAACCGTCGAAGACCTTCATAGATGCTGTATATGATGTGTATTAAAATAAAGGAGGTGGTATATCAATATGGAATGGAAGAAAATAACTGTAGAACACCTCTTGTATTTAATTTTAGATTTATGTAAATAAAATAATGTGTAATGTGAAGGGATCTGGTAATAGAATTATGATCTTTAGTGATTGGTCAGCTGATATATGAAGGTTCAAGACATATGGTCATGATATTATCTTCATATGATCATTTTGGTGGATGAGTGTGATTGGAGAGGTTATCACAAATCATATCCAGTTAAGTGTGACTCTGAAATCTACACATTTTACAGTGTAATGCACAGTTAAATGCTACAGAAGGCTTAAAGTAGTGAAATCTCATGAATTGGTTGATTATTATAACTGGATACTGACAACCAATCAATTACTGACAACCAATCAATTACTTACAACCAATCAATCACTGACAACCAATCAATCACTGACAACCAATCAATTACTTACAACCAATCAATTACTGACAACCAATCAATTACTTACAACCAATCAATCACTGACAACCAATCAATTACTTACATAAAAATCCTAGAACATCTCAACATTTTGATTTTTAAGTCAAAATATAAACTAATCACGCCTTCAATTTTCAGATACCATCAACAATGACTTTACAATAAGTTTTCATTTCAACAGAAAAACAGTTGATAAATCCTTGCTCTGGATTCTACATGTATGAAATTATCACAAGAGTGTACAGTGAATACTTAATTTACAAGACTGAAATAGCATTATCTAAGGAAAAAAGCATATGTTAACTGGTCAAGTGTTGAACCACACTCAATGTGCTGTAAACTGTTGTATCTATGTTGTTTGTCTTAAGCTCTGTATCTTTCACAAAAGATTATTAAGTTTACTAATAGGTTTATAAAGATTATTTATGAATGGAAAGTATTGGGAACAGGAATCAAGTTCTGTATTTTAATAAGTTTGAGTTCACCATAGACCGAAGGTTACTGGACAGATCGAATCTCAAATTATATGCAGTTCCCTTTGATTCCTAGTTCAAATGACTCATTAGAAAAGTTGAATGAATGATAGGTGGTCATTTTGAATACAAGTTTGAATATTTTTCTCTGTTTTGTTAATACTAACACGTGATTCAAAATTTCCCTGTCGATATTGTGATATTCCTACCTCTGGTAGTAATTTCTCTCGCCTTGCAGAAAATCATTCTAAAATAAAAATTTTGTCACATGAAATTAGACATACCTCCATGTGAAAAGGCAGGGACGTCCCTGGAAAAGATTTTTTAGTTGTTTCCGTTATGCTGTACATAAGTGGTAACAGATGGTACTAGGGTGAGTGTCAACAAACTGGGCACTCTTAAACATACACAATCTCAAACAAAACAAAAACTCAGGAAATAAGAATATTAGTTTTATTACAAAAGTCTGAATATTTTCAATTGCACAAGAAATTAAGAATGTAAACTTGAACCTGACAACTAAGACAAAGAAAGATTGGTGGGTGTACTGAACTGTAAAATGTCACATGATTACAGATAGAAAAAGTACAAAATGTCATTGGGATATCAAATAAGTACTACTGTAAGATAACATATTTCTGTGAGGCTAAATCTTTTTTTCTATTTTTTTTTTTTTTTTTTTTGTTAAATCAATCTTTGGTGGTTAATTGATTTCACAGATATATATAGCTCAATATATCTACTTATACTTCGTTCAACAGTTTGTTGACGTGTATGAATTTGTGGATTAAGAGTACACACAGAATCAATGAAAATAAATCCTTCACAAAAATTAATGAATTTACAGCATTAGAGACAAAAAATTCCAATAGGACAGATGATGTGCATTTACACAAATTAACATTACTATTGCTAAGGAATCCAGACTCTCTGACCTCTTAATAAGAACCTTCTCAATCTTGACCCAGTCACACATTTAAATACATGCACATGTATAAGCAAATATTTCTAAATATTAAAAATTTCTGATCAGAGCAATTTGATTACAAAAATAACTCTCCTGTTTTAATTTAACACCTGAATTAGGAGCCATTATTCAAAATTTAAAATTGCCCATGAACTAAAGGCCTCATTTTCAGTATACTATATGAAGTTTCAAAATTGTTTGTTGATAGTTTCCTTTAGTAGTACAATTTAACATTTCCACCTGAATTTTATCACCATATGACAACATTAACATCTATTATAGCTGATCTAGGACCTTACAAATTGTGTAAGTTTTCTGAAATTGTTGACTTCGTATGCCTTATACTTTGAGATTACTGTACCAAAATGTATAACAATAATCCTAATGATCTCTTTCCTTTGGTACATGCTGGCAAATTAAGCTGAAGAATTATATACATAGTATTAAGACAGAGACGTGCTTCCATGCCTAAATATGAGTAAAAATCATATCAGGCCATCACTATCTCTTGACAATGTAAATGATGTGTAGCTGTATCACGACTGAAATTTGATATTAGTGAAATATTCTCTTTCATGAGTTATCAATGCATCTTGTATAAGTAAAAATAGAATGAAAAATGTCAAATCATCACCTTGAACCAATTCATTGGAATGTAGCAAAATGGAAAATAAAGCAGATCCAGTGGTTCTTCATCTTTCAACTTAATAAATATCATATTTAATCCTACACATTAAACAGTTTAAGGACCAATTATATGATTATGGCGAGTTTTACACTTTTTACATGAACTGGGCTATAAACTATGACACTAAACTTATACAACTCTATATCCATGTACAGAAGCATAGATTTTCTGAGAACTTTTGTGTCTAGATGTTGTGAAACATTTTGCTCCAAGTTTTAAAGTATGTACTGAATAGACATTCTTGTATCTCCATTTTATATTGTAGAGCCTAAAAGTCTAGTGATTTCATCCAAATCTCTAAAACTATAAACATCAGTACCAGTACGCTTCACACTGATCATTTCAGAAAATATGTTACAACCTTTTGAACTGTTTTTTTTCTTCTATTAACTGTTTACCATTTTGTTTCACTAATAGTGTACTTAAGATTATAGCACAGCTGAAAAACTTGGTTGATTCCTTACCATCTTGTACACTACAAATGTCAGCACTAGAACACTAAACACTGTTCAATTGTCATGAAGGTGACCGTGTAGTCATTGAAACATAACACTCAAATCTTCTACTGGTTGGGTCTTAAAAACCTCTATTCTATTCACATTGGTCATTTGTCTGATGAATTTAACATTTTAGTCATAACAACATCACATAAAAGATTTCAGTCACATTCTTTATGCTAACAATGGTGACATTCTTTTCAAATTAAGGTGTTAGATTTTCAAACTTGTACTGTAGCACAGTTTATCAGTATCTAATGAATAACAAGCTTGTGATGCTAATGAACAACACAACCTAGCAGAAAGAAAATTACAAAAGCTGCAATTTTCAAAGTACACACAACATCACAACATAATAAACAATAAACTATATATAAAATTAATAAACAATATCAACAATCATAAATATTCAAATTGATTTTGCAGATACAAATTGAGATGAATTCTTAAAAAAAAAAGTCATTTTAGAACACCATAATATCTGTACCTAAATATGTCCCATCAGATTACGTTACCGACAAAAACGGGGTTTCATTTCACACAAATGTAAGAAAGAGATTTTTAAAATCCCTATATGATCAGGGTAACGTTTATCACAGGGAAGCTTTGTTAGATCATTCAAGAGAAAAACACTACTAATATTTGTGTCAGCGTGAGGACGATCATTAATGGGATTTCTGATTAACTTAGAATTATTAAGTCATGGATTTCACAGACAAAGCGAAAACAGGAAAGTCAAAACAATGTTTGCATATAAGTGTGTCAAATTATGTGAAAATATCATCTATTGCAAGAAATCTAGTCAGTACATTTATGTTTAAGTATAACACTGAGGCTATCAACATGTTACAATAGTGAACTATTAAATGTACCTGGCCGCAGTATCATAGCCATCTGTACATGATAGGTGGATTCTAAAAAGTGTTGAAATCATGTACACACAGTATCTTATATGGATTCTCATATGAAGAAGAAAATAGATAAATCTAAGGCTTACTGAGAAAAAACTCAAGTCATAGAGTTCTTGATCTACTGCACACATAGCTTGTACCTTTGTAAAGATAAATGTTTTAATTACCATTTTCATGCTTGCATTAATTGTAACTTTTATTGGTACATGCTGTATAAAAATGCTACTTTTTTAAACAGAGTTGGTTACCTTGGTATGAATAAAAATCTTTACAACATACATGTAAATGAAAGATAAAACTTAAAGATGCGAGGCTTTGACAGACAATTATGATTTACAAAATACTAAATTGTACTATAATATATGTACTCCTAGATCTTTCCCCTCCATTATTTTAAGGATATGATTTTGAAAATAAAGTTACAAGCAAAAACTTAATATCACTTACATACAAAGAATATCAGTATTTCTTATCTTGTTCAGAAAACACCAGGACAAAATTTAAGAACATAATTTCTAAATTTGTAAGGTAAATGGAAATCAGAAAATCGATTACAATTATTAAAAAAAAGAAATAATCATACAATTCACATACTTAATACCAAAACAGTATTTATGTACAAGGTTGTGTGTTTTTAAGGATTTTTAGATAAAAAGGAAATATGGAATGCTGACTTAAATTGTACTGTACTAGGTATTGTAAAATAATCTTGTAGCATTCAGACCCTAACCAAAATATATATATATATTATTTACAGTAAAACAGCATATTATTATCACAGTGTAAACAGAGGCATTTACAGTTTTGGCAATGTTGCTGTTATGAGAAGCATTTCACAATAAATGACCTTTTAACTTGCTTTATGATTTTACCATATACCTGATAATTATGCAACAATTTACATAAACTTTACAAGAAAGAAATGATTATCGAAAAAAGATTTTTTTTTGTGATTTGCTAAAACTTAAATATCAATATATTCTACGTTTTTCAATAAACATGATTTGATTACATATCTCATTATGTAGACACCATCTCCCTAATATATATCCTAGTTTACAATTTCTCCTCAAATGCAATTTTTTTCCTCAACTAAAACTTTAATCATTTTCTGATCATGATAATATTCTTACGTGCAAAAAACCACAACATAAAAACAAACAATAAAAGATTTTTTTTCACAACTTAACTGTATCTGCCAGATTATGAATATTTCTTTACAATGAACACATTGCACTGGGGCCAAAACATAATCATCTAATTTGTAATAACTCTTTATTCTACAAATTTAAGCAATTTGACAACATTTGAAGAAATATTTGCATGTTTTAATATTGCCGTGATTTTTATGAAAGTTTTCATTTTTTTTTTTTTAACTTTCATTTTTCTTGGATGTTTCATAAGAGGAAAAAATCAATACACATTAATGTATTAAAGATACATTCCATTGATCAAATAATCTGCCTCATTGGAATGTAGAGCTCTTCCTTTCCTTATCCTCCTTTTAACATTTCTTAACCTGCACCCAACATATATGAGTAACATCATGGTGACCCCTAGACCTAGGGCCAGTGCCACAATCGGACCCTGGTTGTTATCTGTTGGTGCCTCTACAATCACTAGTCCATCTTCCTCCCCAAATTGCACTTCTACCCGTTCCTCTTTAGTGGGTTTTGCAGTGGCTTTTTCTGTTACCACACTGTCGCCTGAAGATTTCGAGCTATTTGATGTCACTGGTTCCTCCTTGTCTGTTGGCTTTTGAGCAGTCTTTGATTCCGTCTTTGTTTTATTCTCTTCCAATTTGGGTTGTATCTTTTCTATTTTAGACTCGTCATGTGTCAAAGGCTTTTTATCAACTTTGTCAACTGTGGCAAGTAAAAAAATACAGGATATAACAAAATAAGAAATGTAATTAATCTACATATGATTCATATATCTAATTACGTAGACTAGATAAATATATAACGGAGCCTCAATCTGTATTGAAACAGATCAATAAAGATACTGAAATCATTTCAATTCCATATTGCTATCAGTATTTAAATACTTTTCGTCAACACATAAAAACATATAAATAGAATTTGTGCCATACCCTCTTAATGCTATTGAAACTAGATTGAGTTATCTCCCTTCCATTACTTAAAATTCTACATAATCCTGAAAGTGTACCTTTCTCCATAATAGGCTGTTGTGTGGCTTTGGGGTAGGTTGTTGGAGTAACTTTCTCTGTCTTTATTTGCACTGGCTCTTTTGAAACTGAAAACAAAATTTTGTTCAAAAGCCTCTCGTAATTTCGGTCTCCTTGCTGAAAAGGGTCTCTACATATCACATCATCACCATATGGGCATAACTCAATAAAATTTTTTTAAAACATTATTTTCAGAATTTGAACTCACCAACATAACATAAAGATTTTTTTAATGAAGACCCACATTGGGAAAAGTCCTTAAAAAATTGAATTTATTGAGTTGTACTTCTCTTTGATTCGATACATGTTAAGTTTTTTTACTCTTTGTTAATTGGTATGAAACTTTCTCATTTCATATATCTTTTATTTATTTTAGCAGATCATGTAATACTACTGGTAACTTGGACAATCCTTTTGTATCATGCTACTGTAATGCAAGCAGTGGTTGGGTATTTTACCTTCCTGGACTGGTGCCTGATTGATAGGTGGTGCTGTTTCTGGACTTTCCTTTCTGTGGAAATCTACAAAAACACAACAACAGAAGTGCTCACTAATATGTATTAGATACTGCAAAAGAAACCAAAATACCGAATATCTGTTATCTCTATGACCATCAAACTCTTGAAAAAAATCTTTCCCTCAAGTCAAGTTTAAACAACCAATACTACCAAGTATCTCCCATAACCATTAAACATCAATATCAATGTCATGGCATGATGAACAAACTGCCTCTGTATTCCATTCACTTTCAATTTAACAATCACACAATTTAGATAATCAAATCCTATTACACATAAACAGAAATATTTCACCTATCTCCAGTATTAGTTAAGATTATAAATTGTGAATACAATGTATGTAAATAAATCCACAATACAGGTAAAGAACATTGAGTAAACATGTCAAAAATTGCAAGTTTTGCCCAGTATAACAATATGTACGATACACACAACAGATACTTGTTTCACTACTTCAACAACATAACAAATGGGTATTCTACAGATGGAGGAGGGTGATTTTAAATAATTACGTATGTAAACACCATATATCGAGCAAAATCAAAGGTATTTTCATACCCTTTTCAAATTGAAAAATAATTTTATTTGATGAAAACTAAATTCTTAAACAACACATTCATGCGTAAATATATAAATGCACACTAATAGGACCAAGAAGAACACAAGCTCAATACATACAGCTATAAATGTAAACATAAATCATTAATACAGGTTGTATACTTATTCAAAAAAGTGATACTTATTTTTAAAGATAAATATAGCAGTGTGACAAAGTGGTGCTGAAGAAGGAGAGACCAAAGAAAGAGTGAGGGGAGTGTACCAAAGAGGAGACAACTTAAAAGGCAAGGTAAAGATGTCAGTGGAAGGAGATATATGGGGAAAAGACGAAAAAGAGAGGAGAGAAGGTAACAAGAAAAGTATCAAGACAGATGAAATATTAAAAAAGGTAGAAATTGGTCAGAGGAGGTATTTAGTAAAGGAAGGAAACGGAAGAAAAGGTAGAGTCAAGAAAGGAAGATGGGAGATATTTCAAATAGAAGAAAAATGAAAAGAAGAGGTAGAAAAGAGGAAGAAAAGGTAAAGAATAAAGTGGGAGGATATAAAGGGAAAAAAAAGAAAGACAGAATGTAAAGACGAAAAAGTTTGATAAAATAGAAGTAGAAACATACAGAAAGGCAGGAGACAGAAAGAAAAGGCAAAGGAAGAGTCGAAGACAGATAAATGATATAATGGGAGACAGAGAAAGCAGTAGTGTCAATAAAATAAACAGTAATTAACACAACATCAACATATTTAGTGAACTACTGAAACACAAAAAGTGAAGTACAACTTAAACACAAATCATCATAATAACCACTACAAAATAGGAGACTACAATACAGAAATTATGGTTTCACAATATCACACGCCAGTCACGACAAACTGGGTACCTTTATGGAACATATCGTAATCATAGGCAGGTGGTTCATCCCCGTAACTGTTGGTATCATATGTCAGATAGTCACCACCATACTGAGGGTCCCAGTTGTAGTTCTGGAAGTGTTGTCCCCGGTAGTCTGTGTTGTAGTATGGATAGCCATCTTGACTATAACCTATGGGTCGAAATTGCTTCCTCTGGTTTGGGTGTATTCGGTTAGGTCTGCCGGGCTGTTGTGGTCGCATTACTGGACTATTGATCTTAGAACGTGATTGGGTTGCCTCCCCTTGTATGGGACCATTATTAATGGGACCACTCGGTCTAAACTTTTTACCAGATATATTTGACTGGACCCTGCCCTTGCCCCTTTGACTTGGTGACTTCATGTCTGTATTATCTTGCAACATTTTGTTTCCTCTGTCATGATTATCAATCTGGTGGTCTGTATAATCACTATCCCTGTTGGAGCCAGTCATGTGCTCACCCCACTGTTGAAACTGTTGGTCTGTGTTTGGGATATTCTGTGGAGCTGGGGTGGTGGTGGTGGTTGTGGTTGTCTGTTTGTGTGTGGTGGTGGGTTTGGCAGTTGTGGTGGTGGTTGTTGAGGGTGTGGTGGTGGTTGTAGTTGCAGTAGTAGTCGTTGTAGTGGTGGTAGTTGTAGGCTTTGTGGACTTCTGCTGTACATCTTTATTTTCTTTATTACTGAAAACTTTGTGATGACTTCCAACATTTTGCTGATAATTTCGGTCCTTGTAGTATTGGTCATCATTAAACCTATTATCTGGTAAGACATCCCCTCCATACTGATCATATCGTTCATCAGAAAATGAGTTGTAGGGGTGGTTTCTGTAAGAACTTTGTCTATCCATCAACCCAAACTGATTATCAGGGCCTGCCTCTGCTATGTAGTGCCTATCATTTTGATAATTTCTATCCCCACCAGTTGGATCCCGTAGCACATACTGCCTGTGAGGATTAAGCACCCTCTGTGGGTTGTCTATCCCTTGAATAGGTCTGACTGGCAAACTCTGTGCACCACCAAGGTCATCAGAGTAGGAAGGTCTGTTACCTAAATCTCCTGGTATTCTCGGATAACCAGAGGGATCATAGAATCCTGATCCTGGCTGAGGTCCAACAAGACTGCCTGGTTGGGGCCCCCAGTATGATCCCTGTTGGTTCATAATTGGTGCATTTTGGGGAAGAACTTGCTGTTTAGGAAGGAAGCCTGTGTTTGCCTGTATTGCAGTATTGTACACAGGGTTTTGCACAGTCTGCTGCTGAATTGGTAGGTTATTGAATACTGCAGTATTTCCCTGTTGATAAGGTGATCCAATAAATCCAGAAGACACCTGCTGCTTTCCCATGGGATTTTGTAAACCTTGTCCTTGCATGGGTTGACCCTGTGCAATTTTACTTTGTACTTGCTGCTTGGCTTGATAACCTTGACCTTGTACCTGATGACCTTGTGGTCCCTGACCTTGGTAAAGCTTGTTTTGGAAGTTAGTTGGTGGAAGAGCTGGGTTGGCTGGCTGTTGAGGCTGGTGATCTGGTAAATGATTCCTAGGATCAGTGACAGCTGCTGACTGAACTGGAACTGAATCTAAATAACAACCAACACATTCTCATCATAAACATATCACATAGATACATGCTTGGATAAAATGTCTCCCTTGGTGCAGCAAAAGTAGCTAATGATTATGTAAAAATGATGAATTCTATTATGGAGATATTTGTTAATACCAGAGAAAACATATCATGCTTCATTTCCTTTTATTATTGATTTACCTCCCGGCTTCATTGTTTATTGATTTCTCAGGGCCAAAGTATTATGTAACCGATTGTCAGTAGTGAGCAAAGAAACATTTACACATGCTGTACAGCTTACAGTCCAGCTTATGATACACAAAGTAAGAGTGCAAACAAATGATAAAATAACTTTGAGAAAATACCTAAAATTTTACATGGACTGGAAATTGAATATGATAAGCAATACAGAGATAGAGCGTTCATGGCAAAAACATGATAAATTCAGCTTTCAACAGCAGATCATTGCAGGGAGACTTTAAATGTTAAATCAATATTTTTTATCAAATGACACAAATGACAACACTATATACTCCTGTCAGTTAATGTTCAAATGAAAATGAGTAATGACATAAATCAATAAATGACAGTTGCCTCTTAGGACCTCTGAAGTGTCGACACACATGGGCATATAATATAATACAGATCATGCTGAATTCAAATGGAATGCCAGACATTTACGGTATTAATTCCCAACTGACCAGAAGATGTTCAAACCAATCTCCCACAAAAACTTGGATCTTACCCAGTGACTAACTTCAGCTGGAAACTAGACAAGCCATACATAACACCAGCTACACCTAAACCACTTTTCATGGACCAAACATATATTTTGATAAAATCCACATAAAAAAATCCATTTATGTTAAGACCTATCAAATGGTAAACAGATTCTCAACTAAACCATTTTATCATGAAGGTTTGAATAGAAGACAACCTAAATAATTATTTCTACCTCAGGTTCTCAAAAAAGCTGAAGTAGATCAATAGAGAAACAGTACTTAAGCTTTCATTTCACTCTCCATATCATAATTTGACAAGATACTCCTTCATTGGCTTCACCTTTATCAAAACTTTGTGGTGTTATTGTTTCTCTCTGTCCATTTTCAAATTAAATTGAACTTTAATAACAAGAGGGCCATGGCCCTTAACAGTCATCTGACAATCAACGAATGGATGGTGGTCTGACAAACCTGACGAATTCAAATTTTTAACATTCCTTAAAAGTATCAGAAACTCAGAAATGACAGGTTCTGTGCATGAAAAACAGTTATGCCATCATGTTACATAAAATGGCTACTGTGGTTGAATTTTGATCAGACTGAAAAATTACAATATATCAACTTTTTCCTTTCCTTAACAAATCAAACTCCAAAAGTGTGAATGAAACTGCAGAAGTAGTTCAGCTATTTGTTCAAGATGAAATTTGTTGAATTTTGGACCAAACAAAAACATAAGATTTGGTCAGTACAATCTCAGGATCAATTTAATTTATGCACTTTTGATATAATCAACACTCCCTAATAATGCTTCGAGCTAAATTTGATTGAAATCTACCCAGGCATTAAGAAAGAGTAGCTTATTGGGGCAAAATATTGTCTACCTTCCTCTTTTGGAGCCTCATCCCTAGTAGATATTTCAGACCACATTTGTTGGTTTAAATTCATTCAAGCATTAAGGAAGAGCAGTGTTTTGAAGCAAAGTTATTGACGAACATTCCCTTTGGGTCCCTACTCAAACTTTCCCCATTTGGGCCCTGTCCCTAAATTCCTAGGCATCAAATCAACTTTCTGAATTTAAGAAATAATTCCCTACTCCTAATGATATTTCAAACCAAATTTTGGTGAAATCCGCTTAGGCATTAAGCAGAAGTAGTCTTTTAAATGAAAAGTTTACAAACGGCAGACGGCCCACAACGACGGATGATGCATAATAGCAATAGGTCATCTTAACCCTTCTGGTCAGATGACCTAAAAATCAAAATTTTGTGGGGTTATTTTTTCCCTCTGTCGATCTTCAAATTAAATTTACGCTAAATAAAAAGACAATTTCCTATTGCTAGAAAAGACAAGCACCAGATACTATTTTAGTACATAGATTACACCACCTGCCAAAAATAAATGATTTCAAGTATCAATGAATATAGAAGTGATACAAAAGATGTTATAATATATTGTTATTCCCCAGCAACCAGACAATACCCTATTACAATACAAACATCCCATCATACACAGACAAACATTCCCATGGACTCAAAAACAATTTTCTACCAATGACTATCTGCAAATCTATATATAGGAATATCAGGAATCTGGAGTCAACTATATCAAGTCTGCAGCTATTTGATTTGTATTAGCAGTCTAACTTAAGGACATGACAATGATAAAGTCTACAAGGAAAATCAATGGAGGACAGTAAACATTAAAACATCTACATACAAGCTCTCAAAGGACAGGATAACTAGCATTGATATGTTTCCATAGATTGTTAATGTTTTAAACCTGACTACAGTGTATACTAACTAATACGTGATATTTGAACTTTAATACTCCATTACTAGTCCTCAGGTCCAGGAAATTCATTGTAACAACCTATATACCCTTCTGCAGTCATGAATTATTACACTTAGAGGGATTTATACAACAGACAAATGTCCTGTTGTTTTAATAGTAGTAAGTAGGTAAAGCAAATTATAGTATACACAGATTAAAATGTCAAAATTAAAAGAATTTTACAAATTCAAAACAATGATAAATAAATACGTAAATAAGTAAATACACAGCATGACTTGTAAGTTATCTATCATGTACTTATTACGTGTAGCAGAGATATTGGTATTGAAACACATCTAACCTTTGTTTTGACAAGGACATTGATATTTACAACACTTGGTATTTACCACATTAAAACCATAATATTTATTACATGTATAAAAAAAAAAACAGCTAAAATATTCCTACAGAGCTTGAGATACATCTGACCTTTGTTTTAGCTGAAATGGACAGTGATATTAACCATACTTAAGGATACTTATCATACTTGGGCGATATTTTATATAATTGTACACTATATACAACAGACATATTTGGCACAAATTTTCTCTTCAGTCTCACTAGGACAGTGGTATTCAAAAGTCTATACACAAAAAGGCACAAATAATTTATGAAATAATTCTATTCCTAGCTTAACATTCTCAGAATTTGTTTGCTATGTATATAGACACAATTCTGTTTGAGCTATTCTGTAACTATTTAGTCTTTGTAAAGGACACAAAGCCATACAAGTCCTCTAACACTAACAGTTATGTCCTTAACAAATGTTTTATGGATTATGTTTTTTTTACAGTAACAAATACCAATTCTAAATATGTACCACACAGAAACACATTTCTGGTATGTTCTTTTGAATTAAATGTTGAGACAGAATGATTATAAAGGGGAAATGACTGTTAGGTGAAGGTAGTAATATCAGCGTACATTTCCTCCATTAACCCCTGACCATTCCTAAAAATTGTCCAGCAAAACTAGTAGTACCTGGTATATTTCTTCCACAGGCTTCTGCTAATTCAAATTCTTGGACCATTATTTTCTTCTTCTTTTTTTCACTAATTTTTTTTTCAAATAAGGAAATTTCAATATTTTACTTAACCCTTATATAACCTTATTAATATGAAATATTGTTTCAGATTTGGTACAATTTACAACTACAAGCGTAATTTTTTTTTTCAATTTAATTTTAAATATCTGCCATTTTCATATGAAAATACAGAGTAAATCAAGCAAAAACATTGACATTTTTATTTTTCATTGATAGAAATGTCAATGTTTTTGCTTGATTTGTTTCAGTAAGATATATTTCTCACCTTAGATTTTTATAGCTCAACACACAATTAATCAATGTTTAATTAGTCGAGTCTGTTACCAAAGAATTACCTTATAAAGAAATGTGACAAAATATTGTGTGTTGTCAGCATATATATTGCCTTTTGGTTCTACTTATATGTGCTAGAAACCCTCACAGTCAAACACCACAGCTGTAACCCTATTCATGGTAGAAATCTTATTTTGGGTTCATATAGCAGCACTTTCAGGATAGGGACAAGCTCTTGAAGTCCTTGCAAAATTTAGAGTATACTAGGCATATGGCATGCTTAATAACTTCCGCATAATCTCTTTACTTCTTAAGGAGATACTTATCTCCCATACGGCCTCCTTATAGGACTGTTCACTTCATGGTAAGCCATTGATAACATTGAGATATGTATTAATTATGTAACACTGATGTGACTTCACACTTACTAATTATTTTTCTGAAATGTTAATCTGATGTTGCCATTCCATGACATAAGTTCAATAAACATGACACATGTATTGCACCAATAAAATGTGACAAACTGCATGTTAATATATGTATGGATTGCAAATTTCTGTTGTCCATTTTCCAATCATTCACGAAGAAAGGAAATTAATCATTTGATTGTCTATTAACACTGCTGTAATAAACACCTGGGCTTATTTTTCCCTGCCCTAGTAAAATCAGACATAAGTGGCATTTACATTGCTGTCACACAGAACAGAACATTGGACTGTAACATGATCTGTTCAGAATGCTCATATTGTAAATACTTACAGCAAACACCTTGTTCAGCTTTAAAACCACCAATACATTGACAGATCCCCTGTTTACATTCTGAATTGAAGTCCACACACTTGTCTCCCTGAGCAAGGTCACATTCTCCAAAAAGGGGCACTGTAAACAACAATACATGTAAGAGTTTTTGCTTTATAAAATATTTTGGTTGATTGTCGATTCTTTCTATAATTCAAGGCAACTTACAGCCCTACTAGAGACAAGAGTCCTTGCCACTATAGCCTATTATATACGAAAATTTCATGACCCAGGAATTTGAAGATCATCACCAATCAGCTTCTTCCTAATCCAAAGTAATTTCACATTGTAACATCATCATACATTTGTACTGGACTCTCTAGTCTGTTCCTGTTATTTAGAACAAATTTTAGTCATTAATGTAATATAATCTGCATCCGTTTTGTTTCCATGTCATTATTTTAACAACATCTTAAGATTTTCATTTTTTTATTAGTTTCATTTAAAATTAGCAAATTTGGCTAATCACCCTTTTAAATAAGACAAATAAAGCCGGGACCAAAATTAACAAATGGCAAATATAGAGAATTTGGTATTTAAGGTTCTAAAATGAGTTTTTAACTCCTTTACTAAATAACCTGTGACAATGGAAAGCTGTCGTTGCAAGAGCTTCTTGTTGGTGAACAAAAATTACATTACAATCAATTTGAATATGTACAACCAGCAGAACATGTTATGTCGCTTATTCCAACCAATCAGCATTGTATCATTATTACATAACATGTCCTTTTACTATTTGACTACATGTAGATAAGTGGGACTGAAATTAAACATGCCTGCTGTCAATAGTCCATACACTGCAGTGTTGTATAACTTGCATTACCACCAGATAAAACAGTTGAGGATTTATTGTCCCTGAATAATTTCACTGCACTTACAAATGATTCAATATTGAAGTCATTAAAGATGAGTATATCTTACTCTCACCTGTGATGTTTTACCATTTGAAAGCTCATCGTCTATTGTAAGATAGTTGAAATATTTCAGAAACACCATCGCTGAACAGAATTTAAATCACAAGCCACAGAAAGAGTTAAAACAGATATATACAGGTCTGTGATAAATTATTCACATACACTTGATAAATAATTGAACAACTATCCCTTGTCATCTATCTACTATAACAGCATACTGGCCGGAGGAAAATCTGTGAAAACCTTTTGCTTGAATGAAGACTGGTCCTGTTGCACACAATGAAACTGCATTATTGTTACCTTATTGATACCAAGTATATGACAGGATTTAGAAGAATTTCAAATTCCAATAACAGTGCTCCATCATAAATTAAATACCTAGCTTTAGTACATCATCAGTCAAGTCAACTTTCTAGGTTACCATATCTATTCTACAATAAGTCCATGCCTTCACAGTCATAAAATAAATACAGACATGTATTATTGCTTAATACATTGTAGTACCTGGTAACATTACAAACAAATACTATATGATTGTCCTGTATGAAGTCCAATACCTCCCTTTGAATCACAGGTAATGTGTTCAACTCCTAGTTTTACCACAGAATAAACAGAAACAATAAGATACTCTCAGACATCAGTGGAATTTACCCAATTTTGATATACAGAGTAACCATGGTATTGTGTTGATAATAAAAAATTGATATGACTCACTTTATAACCCAGTATATTTTCATCATGTTAAACACTCTGTTTTAATGTTTTTATGATTTTGAAAAATATGGTAACAACATGTACGTCACACAGACTTAGTAACATAAATTCTGTTTGCATTGGACAATCTACCACTGTTGAACATTTTCTATAAAATTGGACTGTGTCTAGTCATGCTTGCTTTTATAATCCAATAACTATGAGTTGATAATGATGTTGACACTTAACTTACCTAAGAACTACAATTAAATAATGATGTAGACTTGAGCTAAAGCTTAATGATGCAGATTTACCCAATAGCTAGGCAACAATAACTACTTAATAATGTTGACTTACCCAGTAACTAGTTAATAACGTTGACTTACGCAATAACTAGGTAATGATGTAGACTTACCCAATAACTAGGTATTGATATAGACTTACCCAGTAACTAAGTAATGATATTGACTTACCCAGTAACTAAGTAATGATATTGACTTACCCAATAACTAGGTATTGATATAGACTTACCCAGTAGCTAGTTAATAATGTTGACTTACCCAGTAACTAGGTAATTATATTGACTTACCCAGTAGCTAGTTAATAATGTTGACTTACCCAGTAGCTAGTTAATAGTGTTGACTTACCCAGTAACTAGGTAATGATGTAGACTTACCCAATAACTAGGTATTGATATAGACTTACCCAGTAGCTAGTTAATAATGTTGACTTACCCAATAACTAAGTAATGATATTGACTTACGCACTAACTAGGTAATTATATTGACTTACCCAGTAACTAGGTAATGATAAAAACTCACCCAGTAACTTTGTAATAGTGTAGACTTCCCAATACCAAAGTAATTATGTAAATTTACCTAATAACTAGCTGCAGACAACCATCAATAGAAAATAAGTGATCAAGTCACTACGTTATATAACTCATGATATTGTTATATAACATATTAATTGCAATATAATGACTGTTTCTGACATCACAATTAATCTTTAACAGCTACTTAATGAATGGATGACAATGACAGTCATCAATTACTTCTCAAATAAATAACAAAACAATAAAGAAGAATTTCATTACAAACTTCTAACATTGTAAAACTGGTCATAATTCTGACATCCATTATTTACTTTAGAAATATAACAGGGTTTTATTGTGGTAATTAGTGGTGAAACACAGGGCGGCAGTCCTTTACCCATCATTAGGCTGGTATACACGACAATTATATCTGTCTGCTACATCATACTGGCAACTCAGTGCATCAGACAGGCAGTTTGTGGCATGCAAGGTTAACTATGGCATTCCTGGTGGTTATACAAGCTGAAGGGAATACTCAGAAAGTGGAATTAAGTAAAATGTACAAGGGGCACACCAGCTGCACTTGATCAGACATTTGTAGAAATCTGGCATGTACAATTAAATGGCTGTATATAGTCATACATGTAGAGGTATTGTGGGATGCTGGTTGACCTACAATCACCAACTACGTGACAACTTTCAGAACTTCATTTTTCTATATCTATAAAGCCACAGCCTCAAAATTTTCTGTAACAGTGATTTAATGTCCTTTGTATACTGGGAGAAAAGCAAATCAGACATAAAATCACACGATTTATCATGTGATCATAATGGAATTTTGTATTTGATCAGTCAATATTTTGAAAAATTACCTTCCTCATTAAATCATTTCTTTTCTGAATAAGGTAAACAACCACAACAAGGAAGATGAGGCTATTTTAAAACACACTACTACCAATATTAAAATGCTGAGAGAAGTTATCAAAATATGTTACGTTTCTTTTAAATTGTTAACTATGGCATTCCTGATGGTTACACGAGCTAAAGGGAAAGATTAAATTCTTTAATTGTGAACAACAATTGCAAAACAAGTTACTTCAGCTATTTTAATTAATCTTGTTGTCATGGGAGCAAGTGATAGTCTTACTGTGGGAGGAAACCTGAGTAATTGAGGAAATCCCTCCAGTAGATGGCCCAAGATTTTTTATATATCCATTTGTCAATTCCAGGCACCGAACCCAAAATTCTAGGTCTAATTGGAGTGCATAACCACTGTAACATCTGACCATTCAATTTATCTAAACGAACACTGAAAAATAATTCTGAAATGTCTCTACCTATAACATATACTTGATCCTATGACAAAATTTAAAGTATCTAAAACATGTATTCATTTATCTTACTGTTCACCTCTGCTGTATTCCATGTAGGTAACAAAAACACTTATAAAGTATTAACATTCACGATTAAATTAACTGATAAATCCATAGTAAGAGATCTAGTAAATTGTACATTGACAATATATATACATTTTAGCGCTGAACAATTAGTATTCCAACCACTATACAGGCATAAATAATTGACAAGAAATCAACATATGGAACCAAACTTTGGTGCAATCCCTAATAACTTGTAATAGCTTCTTTATCACACACAGATACGCCTGACAGACTTCCAACAGACATAATAGTATAACTATAGAATAAAATCTGCAGTAAATTTCTTTTTTTAATCACAAACAGAGATAGAGCAGACAGGTCTTCACTGTAGGTATCAGTGAAAAACATAACCTGAAATTAATTCCAATTTATACACTGTCAGTGAGATGTTACTCATGTGTAGATGCTAACTGTTTCCAGAACCAGTTTCACCTACTCGTGTTATTCTGGGAGCCATATGGTATATATTGATGTTTGCTGTACACTCAGGTTTCAAGGATGAAAACTTTTAATCGAAGATTACAGTTTTTTTCATTATTGATTTTGTGACCTTATATCAAATTTAATTTATAAACTCTAGCCAATAAAATGCTTGTATGTAAGTATATTTATAATGATATTGATATACATCATATCACATTTCACAATCATATAAATATCTAGCTACTCTAAAAAAGGAAATTGCATGTCACAGCTGAAGCATGTTTAAGCCAAGTCCAGAACACCTATTTCTAAAATGAAGATGAATTCTTCCTGGCCATTAGTCAAAAAAATTGAGCGTGTCCTAGAATATGACCATGGGTCTTGAGGGCTGAAATATTTGAGCCTTGAAAATCACTGTAAGTCTTGTTCTAAAGATGAGATATTTCTTGAAAGATTTGCTGATTTAGTCCAAATATTATCTAGGGTTTATCCAGACTTTTGTGGTTTGTCTTGTTATTTGGAAGACTAACTTTGCTAAAAATCTAAGAGTGTAACACACAATTTTCATCCAGTAAGTAGCCCATGACTTGAAATAAGCACACACAAATGCAATCATGGTCAGGAGAAATGTCGGTAAATGCTGTATCTTGTCCTGTCATAAGCCCAGCCCCTTACAGTGGTTAGGAACTAGCATCCCAGGCTTTTTGCAGGTATACAGTATACTGCACCTATAACCCTGAGTTAAGCTTATGAGGGGCCTTCTGTAGGGAAACACTTGAATCCCAAGAAAACACAAGTGGTTGGTTGGTTGATTCGAAACCTTTTCATGTCCAATTTGGGAATCAAACTCTGGTCATTTAGCTATAGATGGAGGATAAGTGAGTTACAACTGTGCCACTCCATCATACATGCAGAAATGATGAGGACCACAAGTGGTGTAGTATACAATTAATTTTGTTTCTGAATGGATTCATAATGTTTTCCCTTTTATTAGGAGACTGCCTTCCAACATTTTTCCCCAAACATCTTCAGCAACTTTTATTTTTATATTTAGTCCATGTACATTGATGTTAAGCACAGGCTCAGTGATATTACCCCCACTTATATCTTCAGCAGATTCTATATCATGTTCCGAAATCATTCTTATTTCAATTAATTAGTTAATTCCAGTACTATTCTAGGGAGTGATTAAAATCCCACAGAATTTTATAAAACACTATTACTAAAGTAACCATCAATTTTCCTAACTTCCTATCAGCATTCTTTATTGTCAAATGGATATCAACTTACCAAATTTTATCAACACCATTAATACTTGATAGTCAACAGTTACTAAACAACTTTCAACCAACACAATGGTCCCTTACCATCTGCTGTTGCTGTTGGTTAAATTATCAACACTTTTTCTCACTGTACATTTACAAACATATGATGTTATAATGTATTATACACTTGTGCAAACTAAATACTTCAACAATATAAATACTTTGTGAAATTTGGAGTTGACACAGATTATATAACCATGAACTGTTAAATGACGTCTAACAAGATAAAAGATGTCTATCTGTATGTTCTTACACATAACATAGATTCCCTAAATAAATAAAATGTACATTTATATGATGGGGTGTTTAGGAAAGATATTGTATGTCACACTTGATAGAGTATATACACATTATATTATCCTTATTCAAGTATCCAATGTCTGGACCTGATATGATGACGTAAATAGGAAACAGGAAGGAGAAGAAAGTATCCCATGTATTTGACAGCAGTCCATCGTGGTTTCATATATTGACCTAATACAGAAAAAATTCTGTTACAGACACAAGTAGTATATTACATACTTAAGAATGTGGATTTTGATTGCTGGTTTGTTTACATACAGGACCTCAGTGTGTACAATAGCCCTAATATCCTGATTTTACCTGAGATTGTGACGGTATCCCTGATAACAACAGACAGTACGATTATAGAAAGATTCAGGGTATAAATCACTTTATACAATATAAGGAGAAATTGTCTTCAACAACAACACTCTACCTTGGAAAATCTGCATTGACGTTACAAAATGAGGTAAGCATATGAGGTATTGTACTGTAGCCATAACTATAAGACTGAACAATATATACATGGATTGATATAAAATGTAAAATCTAACATGTAAAATACCAGAGCAGCTAATCTTTGACTGACAGGCATTACTACAACAGGGTCACATTTCCTTTCACTTTACTTCCTTTTAAAATCACACCCATAAGATATTATTTTATTGCACATGTACACTACTGCTGATAATGGTTCTGATAATTAAGAGACATATTCTTGGCTCTGAAAATTCCTTTTTATTCTTCTTCAATCAAATTTCTGAAAATCACTCTGTATACCTGTTTAATATTAATTGTTCTAAAAGCTCAGACTGCACAGCAGAAGTGCATAATCATACAAAATGTATAACAAATGTGTATAATGTCATACAAAATGTATGACACAAGTATTATATATAAAAAATGTATAACAAATGTGTATAATATCATACAAAATGTATAACAAATGTGTATACTGTCATACAAAATGTATAACAAATGTGTATATTGTCATACAAAATGTATAACAAATGTGTACAATGTCATACAAAATGTATAACAAATGTGTATAATGTCATACAAAATGTATAATAAATGTGTATAATGTCATACAAAATGTATAACAAATGTGTATAATGTCATACAAAATGTATAACAAATGTGTATAATGTCATACAAAATGTATAACAAATGTGTATAATGTCATACAAAATGTATAACAAATGTGTATATTATCATACAAAATGTATAACAAATGTATATAATGTCATACAAAATGTATGACACAAATGTATAACATATATAAAAAATGTATAACAAATGTGTATGTCATACAAAATGTATCATACAAAATGTATAACAAATGTGTATATTGTCATACAAAATGTATAACAAATGTGTATATTGTCATACAAAATGTATAACAAATGTGTATACTGTCATACAAAATGTATAACAAATGTGTATACTGTCATACAAAATGTATAACAAATGTGTATACTGTCATACAAAATGTATAACAAATGTGTATACTGTCATACAAAATGTATAACAAATGTGTATAATGTCATACAAAATGTATAACACAAGTATAATATATAAAAAATGTATAACAAATGTGTATAATGTCATACAAAATGTATGACAAATGTGTATATTGTCATACAAAATGTATAACAAATGTGTATACATTCATACAAAATGTATAACAAATGTGTAACATAAATATGAATAGTAATTCAAACAGTGTAACATAAGTGTGTAAAGGTATACAAATTGTACCAAAAAGTATTTCATCAAGTGTTCAGAGCAGAACAAGTTCTAATTTCAAATATCAATGAAACTGTCAAACACACTTGAATACATCGAATAAGTCAAATGTTGTTTGTTCCCAATTTTTTCTCTTCTTTATCTTAGTACATTAAACACTGATAAATCAAACACTGTTGAGTCAAAATACTATGTTCATGTGTGACTTTGTCTCAGTTAAGAACTTTCTGACTTCAGTTTACATGACTGGGTGTGAACAGTCAGCCGAATCTGTGTTTACCAGCCCTATTGTAATTTTTTAACAAACATTAATCCGTGCATGTACACAGGTGAAAGTTAAAGTTTAAACAGAATTAGGCAACCAAACTTAAAACAAAAATATACTGTTGTCTGTGAACTGCCAATCTACTGTTTTGTTTACTTTTTTATGCACATAACTGCTGGAAACCAAAAGGAAAAAACAAGCAAAAACTATCATGCCAATGCAGATTAATTAAAAATACCAGTTTGTCATTGAAAAATTTGTTTCTTATCTTATCTTTTACTATTTTACGGTTACACTTTTACGATGCTGTATGTATAAAAGTCATGCTTCAGTGACGTTGCTGCAGCCTTCCCCTTTTCGAAACCCATCTCAGTGCTATCAATGTTATATCTATGTAGAATGTTCATGAGTATGTATTTATTGAGTTTCATTTTTAAATATTGTTGATGGGACTTGTTACTCTTAAGGATGTAAATGTGAGTACAATATCAGTGTTACTTTAGGTGTTGATTTCACTAAGTTATGCATGTGCTGCGATTAATTCCATGAAGAGTGTTTCACATTTCAATTTTTTATTTATATTTGTACATATGACTGTTTATTTAAATGATATTGTAGGTGTATAAAATCACAAAATGTTTTTTTATTTGATTACTTATTCATAACTGTCACGCCATACTTTGAGACTCGTATATGGTAAACAACCGATACAAATAGGGTCAATCTTCGATGCACATTATCTCCGTTCATAAAAACATGGCTAAGTCGAACCATTGGATAAGTAGAATATTTCATTTGGTCCTGTCAACTTTGACTTATTCTTGTTTTACTGTATTATATATTATATTGATTAGGGCTGCAACGAGTACCCCAGTACGCATATACGGATGAGGTTTCAAAAATAACTGGGTTCAAAAATGCATACCCGGGTACTCATCAAAACAGAAGACATTTTGTCTTCCATCTATGGTTACATGTCAGATTTTAAAGGTAATACCATATCTCACTGTTTTCATTCACCTAGGATGAAACTTTGACAACATTGTTGTACTTCAGTTTTCTCATGACACATTTCACTTTGGGAACACATGTGTATATACAGCAGACTCGCACTTTTCCCTGTTGCCACAGATAACATGCGAGGATTCCTGAATTTCTTCTTTGAATTAAACAAAGTTCTTATTCATTTATCTTAGTGTGTATTGATTCTTGGTTGAAACTTTTGCTGGTGTCATTCCTACGATGTCATTGTCAAGGGCGATAACTCTGTTAAATACGGTTATGTCTTAATCCCACTTTAATTCTGCAAGTAACGCAATCCTGCCATATTTGCAATAAGCTTGACTGGCATATTTTGTCAACTTTTGATCCGATATGATTTGTCTCAAGACCGTTAACATTAAAAATCAGTTGATAAGTGCAAAGAAAGGAATACAATGGTACCATCAGTGAAGCCTTGTGTTCATACAAAGTATATGGTTTATTTTTATTTGTTCCTCAAAGTTACAAGCCCTTTTCAACAAGGTAACATTATGTCAGATAAAAGTTGGGTACCAGTGTATGGGTCAGGTATTAAAATTTGGGTACCCAGGTCCAAAATTTTGTGCCAGTGACAGCCCTAATATTTATATCTATATCATCTCCAACCTAGTTGGATGAAAGTGTTAATTAAATTAATTTTTTTCAATTTCCAAACTACTAAGTATCATAATTGTTGACCTAAATAAAACTCTTATTCAGCTGATAAATCAATTTGTGTACCAATTTTGATCTGAAATTTAATCATGCTTCGGTGTCTGGTACAATAACCTGATAATCAACAAGAAGCATGTTGAAAAAATTATGTAGCGATTAGTGCTTGATGAAAAAATAACCTTAAGAATCATTTCTCTAGAAAAATAAGATGACCAGTAATCCAATGCAAAATGTATTGGACCTGTATGCCCCACATGCATTTATTAAGAGGCATACATTTGGAATTTCTATCCAGTAGTAAGACAAATGCCCTATCTCTTTCCTGATTTTTCATGATTGACTCACTAGATGCTATCTCTATTTCATAGTAAAGGAAAACAAAATTTATCTGTATCGTTAAATCTCAAAGCTGCTTCATAATTGCTTTAACACTAATCCCATTTCATTACATGGTAAATGAAAAACGGATTTGATTCATACCTGGTCTTTTCTGCGGGACTGGTGTAGGCTTAGGTGTGGCTGATGGTTGTGGCTTTTCAACTTCCCCAAGTCCTTTCAGGTCTCCCTCATTGTCTTGTCCGAGACTTCCCCCGTGAACCACAGATGAGTCCTTTAGTGTCATGGACATATAGTTTTCATGATTTGCATAGACACATTTGTTGTTCTCTCCACAGTTGAACAGGTAGCATGTGTGATTATCCTGTTATGATTGTAAACAAAAATTTATAAATCATGATGAAGGAAAAATCACCCAACTTTCATGATATGATCACAAGCTTAGGCAACAGCAATGATATTCATAACAGTAAGTATATCTTATTCAAATGCATTTTGATCTAACAGTAAGTGATCTAAAGTTCATACCATTTAAATTTTAATAAATGTGTCAAAAGCAGCTGAACATTTATAATGAAACTTTAAAGCAAGGCCATCTCAAGCTAGAAGGGATTGCCATAGACATTGAATGATAACAGCATTAATAATAATACTTTACTTTCATCGATTCTTTTTTCAAAAAAAAAAAAGATAAAAGTCACCTTCCTATAATACTGATGTTGAGGCATGATATACATTTATTCTGACAGTATTGGTGATATTGTGTGTTCCTACCTTGTGTGTATGTGCTATGTATGGTGTCTGTCTTTTCTTGTGACCACTTTTAAATAAATATATGTTTCTTCTTTGTGTGTATCAGCTATGTATGATGTCTTGTCTTTTCTTGTGGCAGTTCTAAGATATATACCTGTGTTCCTACCTTGTTTATATCAGCTATGTATGGTATCTGTCATTTCTTGTGAATGCTGTAAGATATATATCTGTGATTCTACATCTGACACCTGCATCTTTGTGGTAAACAAATTTAACAGTATTTCTTAAATAAAAATGGTTTGGATTTTTTGTCATTGATCCATTTCATTTCTGGTGTTTTCATTTTCAGTCAATTATTTTATACAAACTATTTTCACATGGATTATATCAGATCTTTTTATTGATAGCATGTCGGACACCTGAGATGTTAAGAAACTGTGACTTTTGTAGGTTCTTGTATACCTTATCTTCGAATACTGCCAATGTACAACCCTGTGTGTAACAGCAACTTCTGATACAGCCGAGTCGAGTTGTATCTCTGTCGGATTTCAAAAAGTGAGACCCAGCCTTCATGGACTCTTGTGATCTAATAATTGTTCCTTCATGAGATGTATAAAAACACGAGTTGCCAACAGTGTCTGTAACGTGCTCTGGGTTCGTCGTCATGGGAGCAGATGTTGGTTTTGGTTTCTTTGGTAAATTTGCATCGCCCCTTTCATCCGATGCTGATGATTCTGGCTTTTCAGCAGCAGCCGAGTTTTTATCCGGACGAGTCAAATCATCTTCTGTTAAACCCAGCCTCTTAATTATCTTCATCAATTCAGGATCATTGATAAGTTCTTTGAGCGACGGCAATTCTTCATCTTTACTGTGTACAGAAAGCACTAGGATGGCGAAAATTAATAGAATTCTCATTTTGTCCGTATATTGTTGTCGTCAGCTTTCGGCCATAACACTTCCTGTCCTGCGCAGGTGCCCGTAGCATAAATTCCAGAATGGTATTTAAAACGAAACGCATTCGACTGCATAGTGCACCGCTGTACTACCACTATGTGAAATATTTTAATTTCATTGAATTTGATTGAATTTAACTTTTTCAAGTTAGTAATATATTGTTAGGTATACTGGTATTTATATATCATATAATGCACGCCACGATCATAAATTTGCTTTGACGTTCATTTATATTCATAGGTCTGTCAAAAATCTAGCATAGGAAACAATAGAAAAAAAAATGCATTAAAATAGAGAGAAAGCGCAGCATTATATAAACTATTACACTATTATACTATATATACTACTATATACTATTATAAACAGTGCGTGTGATACAGTACTTTCAAATCTAACAGATGTTAGTTTTTAATGATGTGCAAAAAAAATTGCTTTTTTTGGGTATTATGTGCTTCATGTCTCAATCATTTGCGCTTGCTTTGTGCTCACTCAAGGCCATATAACTTGTGTATTTATTAGTGATTTATAGATATAACACTTAAATAAAATAAAATTGTTTTGGAGAAGAATACTTCATTGCTGTTAATTCAGGTGTAACATAAACACAAGTTTGCAAACTCTTGAAGTTACTTTCATATTAAAAAAATAATAGATATAGGTCATATAACAGAAGTATATAAGTAATGAGTGATATAAGTATTAAAAGATGTCATTTTAAAACCTTTGTGGCATTGTTAAGAATATGCACTTGGTGTTCTTTTAAAAGTATTAGTTTTCAAAAATAACCTAGAAATTTGATTGGGTGGGTGACCTCCCCTTCTTGATTCCTATGCTTTGTGTCCCTTGAAACACAATCCGTACAAGATTTGAGTGTGACATTTCGATGAGTGCACGGTCACATTCACAAGACAAATGGCCAGTGTGACAGATATTTATCGAAGTCCATGTTAGCACTGATTACGTAGTGTACGAGTTGGTAAGGAATCGACAAACCTTTTCGTTCAATAGTGCGAAGAGGCTGTTAACACAAGATGGTAACAATGTGCTGTAGTGAATTCGGCTACGCTTTGTTTAACTTGTGTAAGAACCTGCATAGCACATGGTGATAGATGTGTGAGAAGCTGCCGTTGTTGTAAACCTTGTTCTCATTTGGAAGTGTGATATTTTGACTTGAATACTGACTTTTTATGACGGGTGGCGTCGATAGCAGAATATGCTTACCGTCACGGGACACATTGGATCCGTGTTCGAAACCATACTCATACTCAAACATACATATTGTACGCAGGCTTAGTAACTAAGGTGATGAATCTTATATCCAAATTCATATTTTCCAATAATTTGTAAAAGACTTCAAATGAAATATTATTGTTTTAAGTGTTTAGAGTTTCTTTATTTCTATTTCAAGAACTAAATGAGTTTTAAAAAACCTGGACTGAGTACATAATTTCATGCTTGAACATCAGAATGATCACGAACAAGTCTCAATGAAGTACAAGTCCGTGGACTGACTTTACACCGACTTAGATATATATCTAATATCGAAGTCCGTGGTTCAAACCTTCCCTTAGTTTAATTGAATTTGAGTGTGCGCGAGATTCTGTTGTCCAATGGGTATTTTTCTTTAACATTGTTCTAATGAGTGATATAGCTAGTAAGTCTTGAATATATCATTTTGATGACAATTCTTCTGGTGGTTTATTTCTGCAATTATCATACACATAGATAAATTCGGCTGTCTACAAGCTATTTTAATCACACTTTTCATTGGTGTTAACATGCTTAAAGTCATATCATTATCTAACCCAAAAAAATATTTTTATTTGGATTCACTCACTTATCGCTTCACAAAGTTTCGTTTCGCTAGTGAGTCTGTAAATTTAATTTACCAATATCTTGACATAATCTTCCGCGCGAACACTACGTGAAAAGTGTATACAATGAAACAGAAAATAGTTCTTCATTGATTAGCTGTACATTAATGTTTTGTTGCCTGATTCGCATAACTATTGTCTGACTTGCAAAAGAGAAGTATAGATAGGTTAAGAAAATGTAATATATTTGCTAAAAGATATTATTTAAAATCTGGGTTATTTTTCTCACTGTAGTGTCCCGAAGACTGGCATAAAGAGTGTTGGGTTCTGTAACGTAATGGCGACATACACTGCCGCACCAAACTACACAAGTTCTATGGATTCTTATCGACCTACGAATCAGTCTGGAGCGATTAACAATTCCTCAAGTCCTACTCAAAGACAGGATTCAGCGGATTCTAATTCTTCCAGAGGTCATGTCAGCTTCACTAAGCCAAATCGGGACGAAGAAAAGGAAAAACGACAGAAGTATTTGACAGCGCGTTACGGACAACACCAAATGATGTTGATTCGCAAACGATTGGCTGTTGAAGATTGGTTATATGAACAACTAAGGGACCTTTATGAGTGTGAGGTAAGTACTTAACGTGTTTGGACAATTATTTCTGTTTCTTTTCAATTAATGAACTAATTCATCTACGGGATCGTCCGGCATCATCGCTTGCTGCAGTGGCTGCAGGCAAGCAGAGACGTTCATTGTTTGTGACGGGACACTTGGACTCGATGTAACCATGGATTTGAATTTGTGTATCTAATTTAAGTCATAACTTGAGCAGAAAAGACATTTCGTCTGTTACCAAGTTATTATATAAAGTTCCAGTGGAAAAGGACGAGTCCCATTTATTTCCAAAAATCACAGGATTTTCATTCATGATAATTGTCTTTCCTTTATATGTTCAGTTTAAAAATGATATTACTAATAATAGTTTCCTTATTACAGCCTGTGTATCAATTAGAAATTATTTTTTCCCCAAGTTGGAAGTCCATTTCCATACAATATTGCATACACCATTGAATTGTTATCCAGAAGTTCCTATCTACATAGAACTTGAACAAAAAGTTACACTGTTATTGTTGATTGAAGACCACATGTGAATAATGTGTGTAAAATGTACATCATTCCGATGTGACAGTGAAGTGCTGTATTAATGTGCTCGACTGACACATGTCAGACGGTTGCGATGTCAGTTTGCTCGGTAGCTTCCTGTATGGTATGTTTGTCCTATAAAGAAAACACCTCTCCTTTCATCATGTGTTACAACACATTGCATTGACTTCCGACTTCCGAAACATGTGTCAATAACATGAAAAAGTGCTTTTTGTTACAAAAAGAATAAGGTTTCTATTCCTTAACTATACATGTGCGCAGACGTCCTTTTCAGATTATTTTGAGACATTTTTCCTTTATTTCACCCCAGTGAATTTTCTTTGTTAAGTTATATATATACTGTTTGTTAACTTTAAAATAGTTGATAAAGCACACAAAAAAATACACATTTCGGGTGAAAATTGGTAGGTAGAGGTAGCAATTTTTTTTCTTTGTTTATTTTATAGAAAAAAAAAAGAACTTCAATATTTTGTTTTATCACATTGAACAAAGTGTTTCTCCAAACGGGTATGAACTCTCCAGAATGGAGTTTGAATTTCATAATATGAACATGAAAAAGTATGTTTGAATGGATGAACTGAAATTATCTTAGAGGTAGGTGATAACACGATCTAGGATCAGTGAAAAAACCTAGATAAGAGCAGTAGGCTGTGATTCCGATTGAACTTGTTTGCCTAAATGTATGTAGTATTTTATTCATAAAAAAAACAAGGAAACCGAATTAGTCTAAAAACATTCTTCAAAAACAATGTCATATTTTTATTTAACATAATATATCTAAAATCAAATAAAAATACTCTGAAGTCATTTTATTAATTTATTTTGATGACATTATTTGTATTAAATGCATATGTCATTTTCATGAAAAACAAGCAAATACTTTCATTTTGTTCAGTGATTATTTGTCTTAAAGGACATACTAGAATTCACATTAATTATGGTTGTAAAATTAAACGAAATTAAGACATAAGTTTTAATAGTAAATAACCATTTAAGTTGTTGCATTGTAATGTGAATCTCAGCTGAAAGATTAAATTTGAGTATAAGACATGTACTTTTCAATGCAAGCATTAACTGACTCAATATTAAGGCTGCTGTGCTTTTATTATAACCTCAAGTGAAATATAAACAAGGACTGCCTTTATATTTATGATACTGTTGATGTAGTTAACACTGTATTACAAAGTACATGTGTAATTTATTACTATACTGCACACACCACAGAGGTTAATACACATAAAAAAAACGATGTATTACTTAGTTCTACATTATTAGTCATCTTTATTCAAGTCCAAGTATCAAAGTTGAAACTAAAGGCAGATAGTAGATACACAGTGGAATTCTTAAACTCTGATCATTGGTGTTAACTGGACAATAACATACTGCAGAGTAGAATAATGCTTTGAATAATTTATGTTTGGAATATTTTCCAAAAACATACCAGACATTTTTCTTTAATAATGTTAGTCAATATCATCAGCTGAATTTCAAATAGATAAATATCATTGACATTTAAAATATATAGATGTATTCTGTATAAGTGTATATTATTGTATGCTACAATTATCCTTAGAGACCAGTGAGTTTGTCCCTAATGTACACGTACTTAGTATACCTTGGTAGGTATTACTGTAATGTAAACATCACAATAACTGTAAAGTATTAAGTCTACCCTGCTTAGTACTGAGTGAATACAGGAGACAGTGTTAGCCTGTAGGTATTGGTAATGTAAACTCACCAATAACCCTATGCCACAAGTACTGAGTAAAGGAGACAGCACAGAAAACCTGTTTACAATACCATTGCTATATCTTTGAACAGTAGCCTTTGTCTGTGGTATGTTTGTATTTATCTAGTTTATTGTATTATAGGTGGAGTAATTCTGTGATAGTGGTAAGATAATGCAATAAAGGGTTGGCCATCTGGTATCTGGAGTTTTTCACACAGACCATGAAATCTGATAATAACAAACCTGTACCTTTTAACAATCTCTGCAATAATATTCATAATTGTCCTTCAATAATTTTCAACTGCCTATCTTCAAAAACTGCAATAGAACAATTATGTATGCATACAAAATGACAGAAAAGGGAATTTCACATGCTATTTCATTTTAAAATGCTAGATAATGCCTGTCCACTGATTCAGCTTTAAAATCTTCGACTTCAAAAGCAGTTTCTTCTTGGTCTAGTAAAATTTTATACCATACACTTTGGGTGGACTGGGTATATATTACAATGAGACTTAAATGGTGCTGGAATTTTTTAATTGTATTAGTGTAAAATTAAACCAGTGAGTTCCAGGAATACAAAAAAGACTATTAGATGTAAGTTTAACATCTTGCACATACCAAAGTTTTGAAATATGAAACCTTTTATTTTGAGGTGTGAAAATGTGTTGTATCATAAGAAACACAAGACTGATAACATGAAGGTAAATGTATGACTAACACTAATGCCATGATACAAGCACTGATTCATGGTAGATTTTGATCATGTCTACGCATTCAGAATGTCACCTAGGTACTTTTGGATTCCAAATCCCCTTGAGGTGTATAACTCTTTCTCTGTATGAGTGATATCAAATAGCGATGGATTAAAATAACTGTTAAATTTATTGTCTGTGCGTGCCACTAACATGTTTAGGAAGGGATCAAAGATGATAGGCACAATGGCCAGAGAAATCCTGTTATATTCATTGTGAATATAATCTTTACATCCACAGTCTGCCACCTTTATCTGCTCCATGTTATAAAAATAAGGTTACAGATCAATATGTTACTGTAACAGAAATAAAGTTTAATGGTTTCCTGTCTTTTTATTGGTCTAACCTAGTAATAATGTAAAAAAAGTTCATGTTCACATCTCCTGGTTTTCAGTGTTGGGATGAAATGTCAACAACTCTGTGAATGTATTCAAATCTTGTTTAAATTTGAAAAGTGTCACACAAATTTCCACCTGGGTAAATAAAACGTTGATTTCCTTTCCATTGAAAAAGGGCGGATGTACTTGACACCTTTTTTTGTTGTGATAAAAACAGGATTATAAGCATATATTTTATTTAACAGTTACCAAATAAGGTCATTGCACTACTGACGGTTAAACACAGAACAGAATGGTTTTTAATTTATTGATTTTTTTTATTTCAAAATGAAAATTTTCATGTCTGCTTGTGATAAAAACATTGAATGTTTGTGTACGAGTAGACAGGTCCCTGTCCCTAGAATCTTGACATTACAAAAATGAAAATTAGATCCCTTGGATCTTGGTATCTTAATAAATTTTCAAAATCTGCAAAAACTTATGGATTGCTAGCTACAGTCAGACTAAGCTACATGCCAAAAAAGGTTGTGTTTTTTTAAATTTATTACATGCAGATGAATGGAAATGCAGTCATATAGCTTTGAACAAAAGTGGTTTTAACTGTTACCCAGTCATCATTTGTCTGATTATGTGGATAAGAGGTCTCTTTATCACAATGCAACTCTTCTTTTGATGACATGTGTATTGATCTGGCTAAATGAAAAAACGAGAACTCATGAAGCAACCAATTATTAAATATGACACCAATTACAGAGAGTGAGAGATTTTCTCATTTGATATTGTCATTTTCAAATTAGTATCAGTGTCATTTTAAAAAATATCTGAAAGTTTAACGAGTTACATGCTTCCTGTTCAAATAGAATTGAGAAACAGTCATTAACATCAGTTGACAGTTTATAGAAGGTCTCCCTGTACATTTCCAGTACTGTCTAGTTTTTGTCCATATTAGTTGGTTATTACATAAATGGTCTAGTTATTAGCAATCACTTTTGAAGTTTGTGCACATACACATTTTATGATTACAAGGAAGACTATGATATCAAGTTGGATCCACCAGGTATAGAAAGTTGTGAGAGACATGGTGACAATAATAGCTGACATTATTTCAGTCTCGTTGACATCTAGCTAATTATAGTGCAAATCAAACTATCCTGTGTCTGTGTCTATAGGTCAGAGTTGAGGAAATTGTTCCTGAATTAGATTGTTGGTAGGTAATTATTTTTCTGACATCTATAGATCCTACCCATGCAGGTAAATAAATATTTAGATTCATATTATTCTGTGGGTCAGAGGGTATGATTCTATTATTTCAATTTATAATAAATTAGGTTGAATGGTTGTGTGTCGTTATTTACTGTTGTTTTTTTTTTATTTCTCTCCAATAAATTTGAGATTTTTCTTGTAAAACCAATTTTCATGATGTAATACTTACCAAAACTTTAGTATGCAAGTAAGTGATTGCTAGTTATGTAAGTTATAGAAATGTTAGTCTTTTCTTTTGTGAAATGATATTAAGTATACTGTCAAGATGACTAATTTTACCTGAGGCACAAGTTGTCTTTATTGTGTTTACACTCAGCACAATGTTGCCAAGGGGTGGCTATGACTTGTTTATTGAGCAAAAGCTATCTGGCTACTACACCT